TCATTGCATTAGTTGCAATAAGTCTGTTGCCTTCCAAAGAGCTTGAAGCAGTCGAGCTCTGTCATAAACAAGGTATTTTTCCCCAGAGAACTGCTGCTTACTGGGTATTTCTTTTTTTGGACCATTCTCTGTAGAGATGTCTGTGGAGGAAAATCCCAGGACACCAACAGTTTCTATGCAGTTTCTGGCACCAATAACCATGGCAAAGGCAAAGTCCCTTAAATCTCCTTTCTTCCCTCATGCTGAAGCTCAGTTTGACTGGTCATCTTGAATTGTCTACATGCCTACACTTGCAATGAGCATGTGTACTTATTAAAGTGATCACAGATGAAAAGTAACACTCAGTTCTTCTGATCAGTTACTTGCAGATATTTCCTAATACTGGCCACATGCCTAAATTAAATAAGAACAGGGTTGGATTGGCTTTTGTAGAATCACTGGTTGCTGCTATTATCTGACTAGTAGTAGTGAAACCAAGAAGCTGCATTGTTTTTTATGTTGCACCAAATGCTGTACAGGCACCTCACAGCACCTGTTCATGCTCATGCTGTTTTTTAGTTGCAAACTGAACTTGTTTGGGTCAGCGTTCACAGAAATACTCTTTTTAAAATGTATTCATGCGCAACACTGGCTCCTAAAGACTTTGTGTTTGTTGTTTGCACGAACCGTTCCATTTTGTAGCTTGAATATGTCCAGGTTTCATTTGCATATGAAGGTGAATTCATTCTTGCATTTGAATACCAAGAGCCCTTTTCTGATACAGCTAGTGAATTCCGCCTCTCACAATCTGCAAATCCTTTAACATCAGCAGCCAAAGGCAGCTAAACTACTAGTTTGTTTTCCTTTCTCTCGCCTCTTTTCACAGTTTCTGTTCTTACCTCGGCATCTAATTCCACTTCTTTTCACCTCACTGTTTCATTAAGCCTGGTTGGCAAAGAGGGTAGCACATATTTTGTTTATTTTCAATGGTCTTTGAGCAAGTCACAGCTGGGTTCCCTTGTTTTTGCAGCGTGTCTCTTGTTCCTCATTTCTGCTCTCAGCACTTGCACATGAACCCTTCTACCAACAGCAAACACCAAGGAAACACTCTGGCATCACTGTGCTGAGTTACATCTATGGTTTGCACGCACACAGTGGTATACCTTGTCTGTTAAATAAGGGGATGCTGTCAAATGCAACCTGAGACGCAAGCAGTGATGAAGCACAGTTAGCTGTGACTGGTAGCTGTCACCAAAACCAAAGAGTCAAATCAGTCCTGCAGAGTCACAGAAAGTAAAATACTGCTTGAACATAGACTTTGAAACCTCGGATCACTCCTGAAGCAGAATGGGCCTGCAGCAAGGAGGATGTTTTAGACTTCTCGAAAGGTAGCGTCTGTGTAGTCCTTGTCACATCTGAGGATTAATGCAAACATATATAATTTTTGTTTGTTTGCTGAATTCCATGCAGCACAGCTCTCTTTGGTGGTTACACTACAGCATTGCAGGTGATCCAAAAATCAAAGCACTTCTACGTGTTTTTTTTAAATATACTTTAATCCTCTTAATGCCCCACAGTCTGAGGCATACCAGCCCATATCAGCTCGTAGTAAAGCCAGTATGTTTTACACATGCGTGCCAGACCTCACACGATCGCTTTCAAATTTACACTTATTACTTATGACAGCCGCACACTGCAGACACCCTGTCAATAAGGAAGCCTTGTCTTCAACGTCATACCGCTAATCCCGCCGACAGTGAAAATCAGGCTGGAGTTCGGAGAAGCAAGAAGGGCGTAAGAAGAAGTGGCAGGTAAATAACCATCCAGAGCTGAGCAACTGTGTTTTTGTTTTTTTGGTTTATAGCTTCTTCCCTTCCTTTGTTTTCCTTAAGCCATCCAGTCTTCTTTTATCACTTATCTCTTATTCATTCATCTCAGGCAAATGTTTGCAGCAGCCAACACTGTCACATAAATGCTCAGGAACTTTGAAAGAAACCATGTGCAGCAGCTAATCACACACAATAAGGAACATGTGACTGCAGCTTTTGGATATATTTGCCTTTCATTGATGATGTGTAGTAGAAAAGAATGGCTGCAAAAAAAGCATCACTTTTTCAGTCTTTCCAAAGCATTTAACAGCAGTCTGCTTCAGCATTTGCTAAAACTGTTGCATGTCTTTGCTTGAGTGTCAGAAGTGTATACGACAGATCAAATAGCTTAAGACTGACACGGCAAACTCCTTTTTTGGATCTACAGTTTCACAATGTTGACAAATTTTTACATCAATGTAAACAATGTAATCAATCACATTATATAATAGAAAGCAATAAATCCAATTAAATATAGCTAACGATGAAAATGAGAATGATTCGATTGAGACCATAAATGGAGCTAAAATGAGAATTTGATTAAATAACAGTTATTTGAGTAAACAAACCCCTAATGCGTCAGGACTCTTTAAAACTGTTTAACGTTAGCTGTCAGTTATTGCATAATCACTTGTTACCTGTTTATTTTTTTTAACAAGTGTGTAGGCTGATGCTTTACAGCTACCACATTAATCATTATCATAATCCGCTGCTTTAGAAACACCATGATTGGAACCTGCTTGGGAGCTTTGATTCAAAGTTTCTAATCCAGGTCCATAGCAACACTGCAGGAGGATCTGCGGTGTTCCAGAGAGGGCTTTGTCTCCCGGTATGTCAGTGGGCAAACCTGGGCATGTCACGGAGGAGCGTCCGGGCTCAGGCAAGGACAGCTTGGAACTGGAAAAAAAAAAAAAGATTGTGATGCTTCAAACGTAGAACAATGTGCTTCCACCCACACAGTACACTGTTGGTGCTGCGGTCACATGTTGGACCACAAATGCAGATGCTTCCATGTCAGGAAACAGCGGTGCATTCAGGAGTGGTTCAACAGGAAATGGTGTGTCAGGAGCTTATAAGCTTTGCTTGTTTTTTGTTTGGTTTGGTGGACTTCCAGCTGCTCCATGTGCACAACACGGCAGAGAAAGATAGAGGCTCTCACTGATACCTTAATTTGGTAATTATAACATCTCAATGTTAAGCTCAGTGGAACAACATGTGTCCTGTTTCATCCAGTTCGCCTTCCCATTCAGCCTCGTCTGTTTGACTCCTGCTTTATGGGTGACAGCCCCCTCCCTGTCCTCACATCAATTATTCAAGCTCCTAGTAACCTGAGCATCATTGCAGTCCACCTGCTGCTGCAGTTATTTTGAACCTGATCTTGAAGGAAACCCGAGAGTGATCGACACACTTTGGGTGTAACTGAGCTGGTGACAGCATTTCAGCCTTTCAGTGGAGTACTGACATCATGTCATTTGAGCTTAGCTCACAAGAAAAATTATGAGCTTAAAAACACTCATCCCATATTCCACTCCAGCTCTTTGTGCATTCTTTTAAAACTTTCTTACACTGATGAGTGATTAGTACTGTAGTCAGTGCATTTTTCATAAGGTCCTATTGCCAGCCTCCAATGAAGACCTTGTCCTTAATGAAATACATGATGTTGAATTACATATTTTAACATGCTTCATAATAATCTGTTCTCCCGGCACTTTATCATATTTAAAACCAACAGTTTGGCCACAGCCACTGACATGAAAACCATCTTCCAAATAATGCATATTGCAATGTAATATAGGTCCAAAAAAGACACAAATAAACAATGGGTCTTTTGCATTGACGCAGCTGGATGTCAAGTGCCTACATCGTGTTTTATGTCTTTTTACTCAACAAATTAGAGAATTTCTTGTATTTTTTAAGTGCAATTTTAAAAATAACAAATAAAAACAACTACTATCTTTTTCTTCTTCTCGTGACTACAAGCCTGCACTGAATTTAATTCCGCTTTGAAATATTTACTTGTTGAAAGTAACAAACAATGCTGTTACTGAAGAATACACTCAATGTGCCGGAAGCTGTTTGGGCGTTCATTAACCACAACGCAGTCATTCCATCCTGTTTACGTAAATATGTTTGCGTCTGCGTTTCACCTGGTTCCCACCTGAGAAGTCTGAAAAATGAAACCCAACTTTTGGGATAACTGCTGCAGGGCCCCTGTTGTAAGCTTTCCGGTTTTGGAAAATCTGGTTTGTCATAGTTTCGATGCCAGAATAATTTATATGTTTAATTCCGGGGAAAGGCCACAGGAGCACAAAGCTTTTTCAAACATGAAACAATGGTGCACTGTAAACACGTACTGTGGCCTATTTGAAATAACAGGGAGCTATATGCGTCTGTTCAGAGTTTTAATATAGATTAAGTGACTTTAAAATTTAAAAGCAGTAAACCTATAGATTAATACAGCCATGGGAGAAAATTTTATATCGTGTGAATGGGACTAATGGGGGCAGATGGACGCACGAGTGGATATCCGCATATTCTTCTTTTCTGATAATCTGTGTTTGTCTCTGTTTCCCCACTTACAGCTCTCAATGGTGGCACTCCCTTATCAGGAATGACCCGCCGTGTAGGCTCACACTGTAAGCCTACAGTGACGTCTTAATAACACCTTTATGTCTCATATAGCCGGCTGAATAAATGCTGACATACCTCTGCAGAGGCTCGCTGAGCAATCTGAGAAACTCAATCTGTCCTCATCAGGCTGCACGGCGACCTCATGTCCATCCGTCATAAACGTCTGCTTTGGAAGAAAAATAACGATAATATAAACAGTGATGATGTGTGTTTCTCTTTCCATTAAAACGAGCGCTGTTTTCACTCTATTTATTTGTACTGGTGATAGTTAGAGCGCCGCCCTGTCCCATCTGCCACACGCAGGTCCCCGAGGGGCCCCCTGTACCGTACTGGACCCACATTGTCACAATCGTGCACCGCATCACGCTTTGAATTCTCTTTTTTGGAGAGAGAAACAGAGAGAGAGAGAGAGAGAGACAGTATCTCCCACACACACTCGCTCACACTCGCGCCCTCCCCTTCCTCCGTGCGCAAAGGAGGACTCCAGAGTTCTGCTGAACTTCTCCAGAGTGACGGGCTCTTTCCGGAGTGACGGGCGGGAATCGTTCCAAGTGTGCGGCCGCGAAAGCCATGTAGCAATGTTAGATAAGGAACTATATTTTAATTTATTTTCAGTTTTTATTATCATAAGGTTTCTGAGTCTGGCGACATGGAGTCCGAGACGGGACGAAGCAATGGGATCCTGCGTGCGGTTTGAAGATCGAGGTTTGTTCTTTTGAAGTCATTATTTTCTTCTTCTTCTTCTTCTTCTCAGCGGGTTTAGCTGACAAATTGGCTGCTTTACTGTACAGCCTACTAATTACAGCCATGAGCGGTCGCCTCTTTTACCGGATAGGATCGCACTTCACAGCTGATTATGCTACCGAACCCGGAGGAAGGCTTATTTTCTTTAAGCGATCTCGTACAGGTGTTTTATCCAATATTCAAATTTTTATAGCTCATAAATCATTGCTTTCTTCTTCACTTTATTTTAATGTTATCTGTTTCTCTTTTTATTGGTGCTTCATTACAAAGCAGTGATGACACGCACGTTTCATTCAGTTTATGCTCTTTGCAAAGTCTGGACGGTATGGCTAAAATCAGATGAAATTTATCTGGACCCATACTAATGACATAATATTTTAATATGATGCTTGCATGGATCCACATGCAATCCTTGTATGTTATATCTACAGTATCTACTCTCATGATAATGATTAAATAATTAGGCTAATAACATAAGGTTTCTCTATAGTTTTTTCTTGGTAAACTTTAAACTGATACGCTGAGAACTCATCAGATTTTCTGCTTGTATAGTCAAATTGCTTCCGTTCTCAGAGAAAATATAAATTTTGATGAATTGATGTCTCTATAAAATATATAATCCAGAACCTACAAAAAAAATGGATGATGTGCCCAGAAATGGCCTGAGGTGGGATTTTAGTGCCAGTAATTGCGTTCTAAATCAGCTTAGGGAATAAACTTATAAACGGATTACTGGCTATGAAGGAATGTTTCAATAATGGCCCCTGAACCAGGCTTTACATCTGATGGTTACAACACTCTAATCTTAAAAGATGAACAGAGTGATTGACAGAACAATGAATGGGCTTTACTCCAATTTTTAATAAGAATTAAGAATGTAAGAAAATGTGTCCCAAAGGGAGGCACAGTGGTACACCCCTGTTACCAACATTTAAAGACACTCACTTTATTTTATTTGTTTATTTATTTTAAGGCAGCGAAACTGCGATGATTCTTAAATTATTTAACCTACGGCTCTATAGTGTCATTTACAGATTAAGCTTACAAATTAAACATTCCCGAGTCGATCCAGGAAGGAGATATAAATCCCTTTGGGGTTGTATCAGGAAGGGAATCTGGTGTAAAAAGAAATCTGCCAAATTAAACATGTGGAACTACTGGCTGTGGTTTTCTATTTAGTTTAAAATGCAAGAAGAATAAATATAATTGTAATAAATATAATTTTCAAACTTGTTGCTTTTTTTAAATGGAGATGTCATAAAATACATTTAAAAAGGATTATCCTGTAACAACAAAAAACTTAGAAATAGTCCTCAACATAAAGTGAGGAATAATTTTTGAATTTCATTTTCTGTGGTGCATAAAACTATGAAAAAATTCAGAGAATAGAGAGAAATCTTTTCACATAAAGGAAAAAGCCAAAAGTGATGATTGGGCTTTTGGACATTTGCATTAAACAAGAAAACGAAATATGGTGGAAATCACTTCACAGCTCAGAAACACTGCTAACAACCACTGAGAGTGAGCACAGTTTTTGCTGCATTCAGAAATCCAAGTGAAAGTTTTATTATGCAAAGACAATACCATAAACACTATATGCCTCTCTGGGTCTGAGTCATCTAAAACAGGCAGGTGCAGAGACTATCATTGCACAGATACAAGCCACAGTCTGTGAAACTTGCCATGAAGGAACCATTAATACTAAACAGCATATACAGCTTTTAGGTTCTGAGCAATATTTTCCAGCTAAACCCTTTCAACCACAGACCCTGTAAGAATCTGGGTGCTGAACTGGCCTGCCTGGAGTCCAGTGCTGTCAATCTCTGAAAACATTTTTGTCATGAAATTGGCTCTGAAATTTCAATCTGCTGGCATATCAAGCACACCTGGGGGGGAAATGCCATTCACAAGAGCAATTTGTCTCTGTAGTTCCCAAAGGTGAGAATGTTATGAAAAGAAGAGCTGACACAACACAGTGGGAAACATATCCCTGTTCCAACGTCTTTGAAATGTGTTTTTGGCATCCGTTTCAAACTGTCACGTCCCAAAATGTGCTGTTATTTTCCACAAAGCAATGTTTCTCAATATCTGATACGTTGTCTATGAAGCGAGTCAAACGCAGGGTTCAAATGATTTGCAAATCACTGCATACAGTTTTTTATTTTATTTAATTTTTTTTAAGACAAACTTATAAGTACAAAAGTGAAAGCCCCGCTGCAGGCACATTAAGCCCATTAGGCCCATCCCATGTTTAAAGTAAGACAATCAAGGCTACAGGTAGCTCAGGTATTACTTGCGGTTTAGCCTTCAGGACTTCAAAAGACACTCCTCATGATTATTCTGAACTGTCAAAACATGTCCATAAAACCAAGCTCAGCTTGGAGTCTAGCACTGCTCTCCCTGCTTACACGGTGACCCCCTCACAGTTGGATGTTGACCTCTGCAGGGGGGTGGGTTTTGGCCTAAGCTGAAAGCTACAGAGGCAGGATTCTGAGAAAAAACTTGCGGAAATGCCTCTCTCTGACGGCTTTTCCTGCAGGAAGCAGAAGAACTGTGATCTAAACTTGGAAAGTGACAAAAGGATATGAACAGGAACTCCAGACATTTCCTAGATATATTGAAAAGATGGCTTCTTTGTTCTGAAAACAGCCTTAATATTTGGAAATGCCTTATACTTTACATTACTGTCAGCCCTGCTTAATCATTTTCACTCAGGAGCTTGCAAATGGGATGTTTTTATGCCACACTGCTACACTGCACTATTTCTGCACAATTCCCCCTTTCATTTTGATTGATCCCATAACTGAACAGCCCCAGAGCCTTTCAGGTTACCTTAGTCATTCTACAAAGGCGAGACGTGTGATGCCTAATAGCACTCTACTCACATAAACACCCACCGGTCTGCCAATTTGTATCGATACAAGTAGTCTTACATCGTCTTAGCAACATGTGGCTGAGTCACAGCAGCGATTACAACGATCAGACTCTCGTCTGTCCTAGTTACAGCTCACAGTATCATGTGAGACCATGCCGCATAATTAAACGTGCAACATGTCAGTGCAGCCCAGAGCAGCCTCATAAAAATTCCTGCGGCAAGAGTGACAAACTGTTGTTTGGCATTAAAGTTTACCTCTTCAGTTGCAGATGCTTTAAATTAAAGGTATAATTGTGGATTGTTTGGCTGTCGGGGAAATCTTAACCCTGAAATGTTAACTTTGATATGCTAAATTAGCTCTGCTGTTCCTTTTTCTTTTGCCTGGTCAATGTGAAAATGTGTGTTGTCACAGGCTGTGGTCCACTGTTTGCTAGTTTACCTCTGGGATCACAAGGTGATGGTAAAAATTGAGGATAAGCAGAAACAGAGTTCCTGTTGTACATGTTTATTGTTTTAAAGTTGGAAATACCACTAATGCCTAATAACTTCTCTTATTTATATTCTAGTAATTCTAATATTCTTGTCTGTTTAAAATGCCTGTTTCTGTTTGGGCTGCTATCTATGCAATGCACAATCACTGTCTCTGTCCCTGTCACTCCTCGTCTCGGAGGTTTCTGTCAGAGCACCACACTGTGGTGGCTTCAGGTCCTACAACTGTCAGGTGAATCATAAACCTGGAAACAGAAACAAAATGCCACTACATGTGTTTTCTTGGTCTCTAGTATCTTGTGGAATTTAGTACATTGGTCCATTAGTAAGATAAATAATTATACAGTAAAAATGTTATCGCAAAACAGGAATAAGTGATTTTAGTGTTTTCGTTGTTGTTTTTTTCACAAAGAGCAGTGTGTTTCTTCTGTCCATTTCATCACATCTGTGAAATCTATTGATTGCTTAACAGGATGTTTTTGTGATGGTGGACGGACTGGTGCCAATCATGGAGCCTGAGCTGAACTGCAGCTCCCAGTGTGAGTCCCCATTTTGCTTCATCCAATCTGGAGTCAGCAGGCAGGACAGCCTCGACGTTCTGCAGAGGCTATGCAGTCTCAGCACGGTAACCTCTCTCTGTCACTCTCTCATGTTAATATATATACTTATAATGAAAAATATAACAATGCCAAGCACATACTGTATACTCATGGGTGAGAAATTAAAGGAAAAGAAACTCAGAACCCTATACTTCCAAAAGATATCCCTTCATTTTTGGTTTTGATGATAGATGATTGAGTCTAAAATCTCCCATAGGTGTTCAGCTGGTTGAGAGCTCTTGACAGGAAGGCCATAGAATATGATTCATGTTGTTTTAATATACATGCAGCCACTCAGCAAACCCTCAATGTTTCACCAGAGTATAAAGGTGAGGGTGAACAACTTTGTCCAGATTTACAATTACTCTTACAATGCCAGTACATTTCTCTTACAGCATAATAAATCAACAGGATTTTTCTTGTGGTCAGCTCAGCTGGCCAAGTTAGTTTTTCCTTTAATTTGTCACACATCTGTGTATCTAGACTATCCAGATGTCACATGCACATGTTCCTGCATTTACACAGTAAACAGATTCTTTTTACATCACAAAGTGCTGGCACACTGGCGTGTCTTGTGCAGTTGACCTTGTGAAAGGGTGAAAAGGGTGAAACTACTTCTGATTAATTCGATTAGCAAATTACTTTTAATCGAGAGACGTTCACTCAAAGCCTAAAAAAAACCCTGTTTTTTCAAATTACTTTTAAATGCAGATTTTAAATGTTGGTCGGTTGGTCAGTGGAACAAGTGAGCCGTGTAAATAAACACACCAAGCAAGCTAGGAGTGTGCTACTATCCTACTCGAGAAGCAATTTGAATGGTACATATCCCGAAAGGTAATAGGGGTGGACTACCGAAGCTATGTTTAGTATCGTCTCAGTCACTGGTGCCCTTAAGAGACGAGTCAGCGGAGATCAGCACCGTGAGGCAGGCAAAGAAAGTCTAATAAGACTTTCCAAATAGACGCTAAAGTAGCCGAGACGCTGTGTCAAAGGAACACAAACAAGCTTTTCTCTTCGTGCCGTGCCACAACGAGTTGAGGTGAGTTATCGCTTTGATTTCTTTCACTTTCTGATGTTAATTTATGCATGGGTGTGTCTCAGAGTGTCTAGCATCCTCACCCAGGGGAGGGAAGAACAGCATACTGCGGTTTTCTTTGTTATGGTAATTTTTAACATGACAAAATAGTAATGAAACATATTTATCCTTTAGTTCAGTGTCTTTATGGGCTCTCTTTATTATTTTCTAATGACCTCAACTGACATAAAAACTGCTCAGCTAAAGTGAAATACTCTTTGATGAAATCTAACACCATGCATTTGTTGCTATTTGTGGATGTGGACAGCCCACCAGGCACCAAGTGTTCCTATCCCTAACCCTATAGTGGAAAGACAAAAATACAAGAAGCTGAGCCAACTTATTGCATAAAACACCACCTGTTTTTTCTCTCTCTGTGCTTCTAGATATGGCCACAGTTGGCAGTGTGCTGTCCAAGGAGCAGCTCCTTTGCCCCATTTGTCTGGATTTGTTCAACCAGCCAGTGTCCACTCCTTGTGGGCACAACTTCTGCAGGGAGTGTTTACAAAGATATTGGCAGACCTCTAACATGCCTCAGTGTCCCATGTGCAAGCACAAGCTGTACATGCGGCCTGACCTCAAAGTTAACACCTTCATATCGGAGGTGGCTTCTCATTTCAAGGAGTTGGTGGAAAAGAAAAATGAAAATGAGAGCAGTGCTATGGATCAGTCAGAGGGCCACAAAGGAGAGGTTTCATGTGATGTATGCATTGGAAAAACAGTCAAGGCTTTTAAATCCTGTCTGGACTGTTTGGCCTCATTTTGTGAGACTCATCTAGAGCCCCATCACGTTCTAGGCACCTTCAAGAAACACCGCTTGATTAAGCCCATGATAAACATGCAAGACAGGGTTTGTAAGCGGCACGAAAAGCTGCTCGACCTGTTCTGTAACACTGACCAGGTGTACGTGTGCCAGATCTGCATTACGAAAGACCACACGGCTCATCAGACTGTTCGTATAGAGGATGAGAGCCGGAACAGAAGGGCTCAGATCGGGAGCACAAAAAAAGAGGTGGGAGAAATGATCCATCGCCGACTGCAGAAAATCTGTGATATCAATAAAATCATTCAAATCAGCAGGAGAAACACAGAAAGGGAGACTGAAGAGAGTCTGCGCGTCTTCAGCAAGCTGTTCCAGCTTGTCCAGAGAGGCCAGGCTGAAGTGGCCGAGGTGATTGGCGCAAAGCAGAAGCAAGTAGAAAGCATGGCCAGCAGGCTTATCTTGGAGCTGGAGCAGGAGATTGATCAGCTGAGCTGCAGGAGAGATGAACTGGAGCAGCTCTCGTTCACCGACGATGATCTCTATCTTCTCCAATACTTTCCAGCTTTTGCCACAGTGCCAGCCACCAAAGACTGGTCCGACACCTGCTTAGAGAGTACTGAATATGTGGGCATAGTGAGGAGAGCGGTGAGGAGAGTAATGTGTCAGCTGGAGGAGACGGTAAAAGCTGAGGTGAAGAGGCTCTGCGAATCCGAATTTCAGAAAGCTCAGCGATATGCTGTGGATGTGCATTTGGATCCTGATACCGCTCATCCCAAGCTGGTGCTGTCTGAAAACAAGAAGCAGGTCTATCACGGTGACGTATCCCTCGGCCTTCCTGACAACCCAGAGCGATTTTACCCTTGTGTGAGCGTTTTGGGAAAGGAGGGCTTCTCTGCTGGAAGGTTCTACTATGAAGTCGAGGTGAAAGAAAAGACAGAATGGGATATTGGAGTTGCGCTTGAAACGGTGACCAGAAAAGGAGGGAATGTGCTAAACCCCGACAGGGGCTACTGGTCGCTGGGGATGCGAAAGGATGAGAGCTACTGGGCTCTCAGCAACAGCCCTGTGTGTGTCCCGCTGATTGAGAAGCCCCAGAGAATTGGGGTGTATGTGGATATGGGCTGGGGACAGGTTTCATTTTACAACGTGGACTCTCATTCTCACATCTACTCCTTCACTGGGTGCACCTTCAGTGGCAGACTTCTCCCCTACTTTAACCCACGGAGGAATCACAGCGGGGTTAACTCAGCACCTCTCATCATCGTGCCTGTTAACTAAAACTTCGTAACGTGCGATCTCTACTTGAATGCTTCGTTTAGTTTTCAATTTAACGTTTCAACTGTGCCAAAAAAAGTTCCAAGTCTGTAGGGTAATTCTTGCTGTTTAATAAAATCGTGTTTGTCCAAATGAATTGTGTTTCTTTTTTTATTATTATTGTTTTGTGTCCGTGATTTCAAAAAATGAGAGTTTCAGATGCACAAGAGCAGCATCTGAAATAATTTGGATGCATGTTTGCATGTTGCATGTATGCGTTTGCAGATGGCAGCAGAGCTCCCGAGGCGCTCTCTCTCATCGGTGCTAATTGCTGTGGTGTGGACGCTCCTCTCCTGTGGAATCCTGTTGGCATTTTGCTTCCTCCTTTTCACCCTGCGCTTCAAAAACAACAGGTACAGTGAAACATATGCAGTATATAAACACAAAGAGAGGCTTACAGAAGTCATTTAACATAATGTGTGTCATGTCATTAGGATAGTAAAGATGTCCAGCCCCAACCTCAATGCCCTGACTCTCTGTGGAAGTGTCCTCACCTATAGCAGCGGTTTCCTGTTTGCCGTCGAGGAAAGTGGAGCATCTATAGCTGTTCTACAAGTGAGTCCAACTTCCCTTCACCGCTCTGTGTTAGCGTTGACATTGTTAGATTGAAGTAATCATACCATGCTCTCTACCGTAGACTCGCATGTGGATGCTTTGTGTAGGCAGTACCCTGGTGTTTGGCCCAATTTTGGGGAAGACATGGAGACTGTACAGGGTGTTCACGCAGCGCGTGCCGGACAAGAGAGTGGTAGGCATGCTCTTCAGTTTTCCTGGTGGTTTCCTAGGAAACCTACATAGTCTACAGTCCATATATATATATATATATATATATATATATATATATATATATATATATATATATATATATATATATATATGTATATTTGCCTGTAGGTTTGGTGATAAATTTGATCCTCCTGGACTTGGAGGAAGTGCTTTTCACAGATGATTCTTTTCAGAGCTGCTCCTTGCTGGAGGAATTTTGTTGCTTGACCTTCTACTTTAAAACACTCCAGATGTAGTCTCTTTGAATTAGGGGACATAGTTTTCACTCTTTCCTCCTGTGTCCACTTTGTTAAGACCTCAGGGCAACCTTCCTTCAGTTTCTGGGCACAAACTTGCTATCTCCCCAACATTGTTTGCACTCGTGTTTCACAGCCAGCACTGTTGACCTCCTCTTACTTGAAGTATTATTCTTGCTTTTATTTGGTTGTAACTCTAACTAAAAGTGCTTTCACTAATGGTCACAATGCTTCTTTTCATGATCTTTGGCGAATCGTGCAGCACTGTGCTGTTTTTAAGCTGCTGTTTCCTTCTTTTCTTTCTTTCTGCAGAGGCTTAATTCATTCAGGGTTTTTTTATTGATGCATTAGTTTCTGCTGATACACTGTCCACCATCAAACACGCCATCTGCTTTTCAGTCAAATTATATGTAGCAAAAAATAGCAAATTGTGTATTTGTGCTGTATTTAAGGCCGTCCACTGTGCCTGTTTGTGTTAACATGGATCTTCATTTACCTTTTTTACTTTTTAATCACTCCTGGCTCTTTGTTTTAACTTATGCCAAGTAGCCTACTTACACTCTTGGACCCTCTCTATCTTTATGACATCTCACAATCTGGTTTCTTAGGTGCTGAGGCAATTGAGCCATGCCATATTAGACACAGCCAAGGCCAACATATAACAATATAACCACTGTAATATGTTGGTATAGTAGTTTATGTTCAGATAACAGTTTGATTCTGAGATAAGATACAAAATTTGGGGGCTGGTCTGGGATTTGGACTCAGGGCCTCTCATGTTATGGTCCCTAAACCCATGGCTCAAAGAAACCTAACATATGAGATGCCACAACACTGCTGCAGTTCAACAAATGTTTAATATTGCAAAAATAGTTCTTTTAAAAAATAAAACAAATAGATATAACAAGGAATAGGAGCCCAACCATAAACAAACAAGAGAGAAAGAACATGAACAACTACACAATGAGCAATCAGATTCCAGCTTAAGCTAATAGTCGTAAACTAAACTAATAAAACCAAGACTGAAAACATGATTGTCAATAACTCCCAACTCAACTATTGAATTGAATTGAACTAGGAATAAATTAAAAACAAACAAACAAACAAAAACAGCAAAAAAGAACAACTGAGCAATAATACTGGTGCTGGTGAGGAAGAGCAGAGAGAACATCTTTAATAGGTGTGCAGCACTAGGGATAAAGAATAGATCAAGAAAGGGGGGAACAGGTTAATAAAGGATGACAGAAAAAACAATAACGGCCTGGCACATGTGCTGGTGCACAGAGAAACATGTAACACCCTCAGTGGTCTTTACCACCGGTTTGTGGGATTATCGCCTTTCATCTTTAGTCGCCATGGCCACCTCTTGGCTTCATCTCACTTTCAAACCTTGTTGATAAAAATTTCTTTAATAAAAATTTCATGTCCAATTACATTTGTTGCAGAAAGCAACAATATAAGTGATTTTATTTTTGCGCTTTGCTGCTTTTTACATAGTCAGTATGTATTATGTATTTTTCTTTCTTCCTCCTCTATTTACCAGATTCATCAAGCATGTTCTGCCCCAGGTATTTATATTGCTTAGGAGATATTCAGAGATGTTTCTGAAGCAATAACTAGCAGGTTAGGTCATGGATAAGAGACAAAGCTTGTTTTGCTTAAAGTTTTTCTCGATTGCTAAAACACATTTCTTGAAACTATGCCTCATATTCTCACAACAGTAAACACAAATCCATAACATCTCACTCAATTTCCCAAATATCCTATTTTCAGGTCAAAATAAAGCTCTACACTCAAAACTATTCACTCTTGCTGAAAAACCAAACTTTGCCCTCAGACATCAAACACAAGCCCTCAAAAACACACACACTACAACAGAGTTTTGCACACTGGTACAATTAATTCAAAACAATAGTTCCAAAACACTTAGGTTGCTTATGGTTCTCACCTTCAAAAACCTTTTCACATGATAAACACAAAAGACGCAACCAATGTATGTACAGTGGCACATTTTTATTCATGTACTATACAGTACAACACACACCAGAAACATTATCCCACCTCAGCATCTTGTCTTTGGTCTGGGTCAGGCCAGAGAATCTCATCCACATCACAGGCTATATTGGCCCTAGCCAGGCAGCGGGGGTAAAATCCTCTTGCATGCCTGATCCACCCCTGGCATGCATCTACTGATATGTCTAGGCAGGCTTCTTCCATGGCCTGAAGGAGGTGAACACGGACATAAGGTTCTCGGTCATACACTTTCCACCGCCATGCCGAAAATAACTCCTCTATCGGGTTTAGAAAGGGAGAGTATGCAGGCAGAAAGATATTAGAAAACCTTGGGTTATTGGTAAACCAGTCACGAACCAGAGCAGCGCGATGGAAGCTGACGTTATCCCACACAACAACGTAGTGAGGCTGCTCTGGCTGTGCTGGTTCCCTGTAGTCCAGCTGGAACATATGTTGTCTTAAACCATCAAGAAAAGCAAGGAGAAGCATAGTGTTATAGGGTCCTAGTACGGCATGGCGGTGGAGTACCCCTCGTTGGCTGATGGCTGCGCACATAGTGACATTCCCTCCACGCTGACCAGGGACATTTACAATAGCCCGATGGCCAATTATGTTCCTCCCCTTTTCCTTCTTTTGGTCAGGTTAAAACCTGCCTCATCCACAAAGATTATTTCATGGGGAACAGGCCGTCCTTCAATCTCAAAGATTCTCTGCAAAACACATAACACAGTAGAGTCAATCGGTACCCTGAACCACAGTTCAAGAGTGCTGAAATGGCAGCATAAACTGCCATGCTGTGATGGTACACAATACTTTATACAATATCCAAACTCATACCTGAACATATTCCACACGTTGGTTTTTCACTCTGTCAGAGTTTCGTTCGAAAGGGACTCGGTATGCCTGTTTCATCCGGAATTGATTCTTTCGGAGGATGCGGTCAATTGTGGAGAGGCTGATGGCATTTATGCCTCGAAAAAGATGATCATCCTCAATCACTCTCCTTTGAATCTCTTGCAGGCGGATTACATTATTTGCAATTACCATGTTTACAAGTTCCCTCTCTTGCCCTCCGACAAAAGCCTTAACCTGCCTCCACCAGGTGGTCGTCTCTGTGTCCTACAAAAATAGAAGCACTCATTACTGTAACTGTCACACATTCTTTTTACAGGAAAATAATGGAAACATACTGAAACTCAAGAAACATAAGTTCAGTAACTTAAAAGTTACTGTACAAAGCAGTCTTACTGCAAGTACACCTACCTGTTTTCCTCCCTGAAGGTTCTGATGATGGAGGCAACAGTGAAGCGACTCAAATTTGGTTGTACTCGTTGCCCAGCCTCCCTCATAGTCATCCCATGGACAAGGACATGGTCAACTAAAGTGGCTCGAATTTCATCCGAGACTGACTGTCTTCTTGCCCTTGCTCTTCCCCTTCCTTGTCGCCGTCGTTCTCCACCTCCACCTCCTTCACCACGTCCTCCTCCTCCTCCACCTCTCCCTCCTCCTCCACCACCTTCCTGTTGTCCTAGACCACCTCCTCCTCCTCCTCTTTCACCACGTCCTCTTCCTCCACTACGTCCTTCTCTTTCACCACGTCCTCCTCTTTCACCACGTCCTCCTCTTTCACCACGTCCTCCTCTTTCACCATGTCCTCTTCCTCCACCACGTCCTCCTCCTTCAACACGTCCTCTTTCTCCACCACGTCCTCTTCCTTTGCATCTCTTTGGATCCATTGTTTCAAACCTGAATGAGCTGACTTTGGCCCTTTTATCTATCCATTGAAGGTTCTGATTGGTGTGTGATACATTTTGACTCCTAGTGTTTCCACCTGGTTAATTGTGTGCTAATTGAGCTCAAGCTGTGCTGACTTAAGTTAACATCATTGAATGCTAGTGCTTTCTAAATGACCACATGGTGTAAGCACTGAAAAATGTAGGGATTTGTGTGTAGTTTTGCAGTAACAGTTCACCAAATTTGACTCATGTGTCAAAGCAGGGAATAGTGTTTATAGTTCAGGGAAATGGGTGAGCTTTTTGAAAAATAGCGTTACGGTTTTGAAATTTTAGTTTAAAAGCCTGGTTATAGTGTTTAAGCAATCGAGAAAAACTGTAATATAAATTTCTTTACTGTGCATATCCAATCTGGTATCTGATAACTGTGCCACTTAATCAAGGTGTCGCTACATGAATGAAAATGCTCTACTGGTGAAATAATAACTGGGGACTATGCTCTATGTGTCAGATAATCAGGGACATCCAGTTGATGGGTATGGTGGCTCTGTTGATCCTGGTGGACATGCTGATTCTCACCGCTTGGAACCTCACCGACCCCATCAGGTGTTCACGATCTGTGGGAGCTGTTGTCAAGGTAGGATTATTGGTGATTTCCTGAAGCTGAGCAAAAAGTTGTAAAATGACTTGGTTTCATTAAGAATGATGAAAACCGAAATGCATGGGACTTAAATGTTCACCTGAATGCTTTTTGCTGTCAAATTATGGAAAGTGAAATTGAATGAGATTGCAGGAAAAATTGAATTTGTGACTGGAAAATCACAAACTCATACATAATGATGACAGCTAAATAAATCAACTCTCTGATGGTGTATTGTTTTCTTTGATGATGTAGGTGATGGAAAGAGATGTTTCCTACTCGTTGTCGCAGCTGGTTTCTTGTTCTTCTTTGTACTCAAATCTGTGGATCATTATTGTTGCTGTCCAAAAGGTAACTAGTCTCTATTCAAACTTTATTATACATTTGTATCAGTGTTTAAATGCACATTTTAAAGTTTTGCATTATTTTGATGGCATCATTTATCTTTCACGTGGTGTTTTCTGTGTATTCTGTATGCTGTACTGTTTTCTCCAGTTTGCCTTATGTAAACACACCATTGCAAGTGCTTTACTTAAGTGAATACATGTGAATAAAACTGCTGAATTTGAGAAATCAAATCAAAATGATAGTTTCAGACGTCAAGTATTAAATAACCTAACATCTGAAAGACTTTGGTCATTCATTTTTGTATAATATGAATAATTTTTAAACAATAATAATGGTTATTTATCCACCATGTTTCTTTTTTTTCCCTTTTTTTTTTCTTTTAATGCCCTTTGTCTTTACTTTGTTTCTCTTTAGGGTTGTCTTCTCCTCTATGGCACTTATCTAGCTGGACTGACAAGTAATGTCAGCCATCCCCCAGTCAACCAGTCTCCTACAATCATTACATGCGTCACTTTGGTCACCTGCTCCTCCGCCGTTGCCACCCCCGTGTCCATCTTCCTGCAGACTTGGCCCAACGTGGTCTACAGTACTGTGGCTGGAGCCATCTTCATCTGCACGCTGGCTACAAACTGCATGCTGTTTGTGCCTCAGGTCAGACACTGATGTCATTTTCCATTTTTTAGCATCTGCGTAACAGAAAACTACTTGGAAAATAAACTTTATCGTGTCTAGAAGTATTATGTTTACTGATTGTCCATTTCACTTTTGCGAACACAATGATGCTTCAGTGTACAGAGGGACTTTTTTTTTCAAATATGGCAAACGTATTTACTTAAAGTGAAGGATAAACTGATTGTATAATAATAGAATACTATGTTTAGAAACCAGCAGTAAATAAACCGACTCAATCAGACAGACAGAAACTAAATACAGACAGATGACAAATAGACACGCGAATGGTAGCTTTGGTTATGACTTTTTCTTTTTCATTTGAATAAAGTAGTAAATCTGTGAGTGATTGCAGTGCTCACACATGCAGTTTTATGTGTGCCAGATTTCCATGTCTGTCAGTGGAGGGTGACTCACACACAAGGTGTTTATGAGTCAAAACTACGTAGGCTGTCGCAAACAGGTTTATGACTCTCTAAGAGTCTAGCAGAGGACTTTTGTTATGGTAAAGGAATGCATCTCCTCTGGAACGGAAGGAAATAGCTGAACAGTGAGCAGTTTGTGCAAATACACCTGGTGAATATTCCAGATCAAATGACCCTGATAATATATCTTCTTTTTTTGTTAAAAAAAAACTACATTTTTTTCATATCTCTAAAATATCTCACTTGCCCCATACAGCTGACACAGTGGCGACAGTTTGAAGAAGATCAGAACAACCCGAGTCAGATGGCCAAGTATTTCAGCAGCCCCAGTAAGAGTCAGCCATCTGTGTACAGTCAGGATGAAATCTTCTACCTGCTGGGGGAAAACAGCTCAATGAAGAAACTCCTTAATGAGGTAACGTTACTGTTTTCTTCTCAGAATTAGCCACTCGGTAAGAAATCATCTTTGTTTCATGTTAGAATTTCATATAAAGCTGCAGTAGAACTTTCTCATTTAATTATAAGACACGTAATCTTTATTTTTTTTGCAGATGATTTAAGTTTTCCATTCCTCTCCTGTAGACGAAATGTGCTTTCTTTATAAAGGCCAGTAGGGGGTGACTCCTCTGGTTGCAAGAATATGGAGAACTGACACCACTTCTCTTATTTATGATCTCAGTAGAAACTTCCTTGATTCGTTTATGGTAACAATCACTGTCTTTTTTTAAATAGAGCATAAGGTTTGTGTAGTAAAGAATTGTAACATTTAGAGTAAAATCAACAATGCTTCGGGGCGTGGCTGCAAATATATCACGTCGCTAAACTCAATTAGGATTTTAAACAATTTGTCATTTTTTGAGTATTGTGGTAGCACATATTGCAATTTAGTGGCCTTTTTTAAAGCGTTGCAAACTGATGCAGACACTTTGCTGTACTCAAATTGTCCTTGACTATATGCTTCACATCTCTCTATATTGTGGGTATGGATGTGAAAAAACATGACATATCAGGGTTCCAGGCTGTTTAACACGTAACAAAAATTTCAATTTCGGCCAATTTTATTTATACAGCATCAATAGTCCACTCAGTGTGCTTTATACAGTAAGGTAAAGACTCGGGTATTAGAAAGAAACCCTAACAATCATATGATCCCCTATGAGCAAACGCAGGAGGACAGGGAAAAAGGCAAAGTGTGGGAGAGAGAGTCAGATTTTAATAAAGGCTCTTGTTATCTGAGACAAAGGTTTTTGTAAATAAAGTAGGTAATGGGTTGTGTTATTTCAAACTAAGTGTGTCTAGTCTTTTTTATTTTATTTTAGTTTCTATTTTATACCTAATAAACCTACATGGAAATGGAGCAGCAGAGCACAGTTCTGATAGCGTACAAGGCACTTATAATGTCCCACCAGCTTCTGTGTTGGACACATCTTTGTTCCTCATCTATAATAATGTGTGTGATGCACTGTCCAAGTACTGGTCTCTATATTAAACACAAAAACAAATTTCAAGAGTTTACATCCTGAAGCTGCAGGTAGTCCTCTTAACAGACTAGTTTACTGTCAAAATTAGGTGACAAACACATTCAGTACAACATATAAAACTGACACCTTCATATTACTTCATTAGTGGTGTAGATGAAACAGGGCTGAGTCAGTGCTGAATCAAAGTGGCACCAGCTGCTTAACCATATGTTTACGACTTTCTGTCACTGCTTGACTGTTCTGTTTATATTGATTCAAAAGGCAGGAAACTGATGCGTGCCAAGTTTTCATAGTGGCAGATTTTTCTAGCAACATTTTCTCAGTATGTGTCAAAATGTTTTCACTTCTCTGTATCACCACAATTTTCAGAAGAACGCCGTGATCGACAGTCTCCAGGAGCAGGTGAACAACGCCAAGGATAAACTCCTGAGACTCATGTCAGCGAGCCAGCACCCTGAGGACCAAGACATGGACTCCTCTGCCACTAACCTCAACTCGTCCTCCACTCAGACGACCGAGCTCCAGTCGGAAGGCCCCTCTACTTGTTCTCAATCTCAGAAAGACACTAAATCAACACTCTCGCCCTCTGCTCTCTCGCCTCACCTCACTGCTGCTCATGGTTCATTATCTGCTGTTACACCGTCCTCTGCTCCTTCCTCTATTTCAAACTACTCTGCTCCCATTTCTGTTTCCTCCCCTCTTCCCACCAAAATCCCTGCTTGTGAAACTCAAAACAATGCATCTGCTCTCAAACGGGACGCATCCCTCCCGTTTATGGGTTTACTCAGGACACCAGAGGAGACAGTTCAGTTTGTGACCTCTCTGCAGTACCGACGAGGGTTGAACCCCTCTATGGCTGAAACCTTTGGTAGTTATAGTGGCCTAAATCTTCAGGTGGGACCAAATACTAAACCAGCTGGTTTTGTTAGTAGCGAACAGTTGCAGGAGATCCTACAGGAACTCAGCGTGGATGCAATCACGGAAACCACGCTTCGATCTCCCGATCAGGCGCCCAGGATACCTTCTCAGCAAAAACTGACCAGAGACTCTACACTCTCCCCTCTCTCCCCACGGACACCCTGCTCCCTTCCCTCTCCTGCACTCTTTCGCTACCCTAGCATCTCGCCTTATACCATGAGAAAAAGGCGGCGGCCCTTTCACTCCTCCAGAGGAGGTTTAGCTCCTCCCTGCTTCTACACAGGCTCTGAGGTTCCTGGCTGTGCAAGAGCAAGAGACACATGTGCGCTCCCAAGTCCAGAAGATATTACTGTGGATGATAACTGTATCTCACATCACAACAGTGACCTTGAAGAGGGAAAGGAGGAAGACACGAAAGTGCGTGAAGTAGTGAGAACATGTCAGAGGTGTGTTTCAAGGCTCCCGAGATGTTCGGTCGTGCATTGTGAAGAACAAAACCGTAAAGCTCCAGAGGATGTGGGAGCAGGCGGTGATAACGAGCAGCACCGCAGACACATTCGAGACTCATGTGGGTACTCGGACTCAGACTCCAGCAGCTCAACCGATTACTGCTACTACCACCGTCCTTACTGTGACTCCTGCCTGCAGCGAGGCTCCCTCCTGTACTCAGACAGCTCCTCAGACTCCTCTGACAGCGAGTATGATGACTACTTGAGCCTCTACCGCTCACCACGCCCTGTGGTATTCAAAGAAGACCTCAAACCCACCTTCGTATGAACACGTTTACTGCACTTTACACATTTATCCAGTTCCAAAACTTGAATGAATATTCTCAGAAAGGTTGCTAAAACGGATGTACTTCTGTGATGGGGGACATTCGACAGTAGCTTACAGTATAGGAACTTTACATCCCAGAGATTGTTGTTTTTCTGTGTTGCACCATAGGTCACAGTGACTGATTTATGAGACTAAAACTTCTGTAGCTTAAAAACACATAATGCTGTTTACTTTTTATAGTTACTTGTGGCATTATTTGGATTATTTGGATTACTATTTCTACTGTCTGATGAAAACCTTTGACACTTACAGTACTGTGCAAAAGCCTTGAGTTACTCATTTATTTATATTTAGTTTCTTTTAATTCTTTGAGTGGTTCTGAAGGACATTTGTCTTTGGACATTGGCTGCTTTTTCTTTCTTTTTCACATGAGACGCATGTTTTTTTCTGTGTTTGTTTTTTGTTAATCTTTTTAACACTTACCTTTGAATAATTCAAACATAAAAAGTGTTTGATGACAATGATAACAGACAACTTATCAAAAAATTTTTTAAATTGTATGTTTAGGCACTTTGTTACTAGCAGCCGTTCCAAAATGCATAATTTGTTTCCATTTCTTTAATCCATAAAAATAAATGCCGAAGATAACACATTTTCACAGATATAAAACACAGTTTTTGCACCACGAATTGATTCTCAAGGTGCTATCAGCCCACGATATTTCTTATGAATTATAGTTTCAGTTTTCCTCAACATATATGTGGGAGACCAGGAGAGAGGTGCAACAATGAGTGCCTACAGCCATCTGTAAAACACCGCGGAGGTTCTGTCATGGTTTGGGATTTCCTTTCAGGTAGTGGTTTTGGAGATCTTGTCAAAATTGATGGAATTATAAATGCAGAGCCCCGGCTCGGACAGTCTTGGTTGTTGTGTCCTTGTTGTGTCCTTGGGCAAGACACTTCACCTACCGCCTACTGGTGATGGCCAGAGGGGCTGATGGCGCAATATGGCAGCCTCGCTTCTGTCAGTCTGTCCCAGGGCAGCTGTGGCTACAACTGTAGCTTGCCTCCACCAGTGTGTGAGAGGGAATGAATAGTGGAATTGTAAAGCGCTTTGAGGGCCCCAAAAAGCGCTATATAAATGCACTCTATTATTATTATTAAAAAACATCCAAAGAAGAGTTTTTTTGTCCTTCAAGAAGCCCAAACTATTACTGAAGACTACTTAAAGAAATTACAAGAAAGCTTGCCTAAGAGAGTTCAGCATGTGTTAAAGAATAAAGGTGGTCATACTTGTGCAAACTCTGTTTCTTTCCTTATATACTGTATTTCTATTTCTATTTATGCATCTATTTCATATTTTCCTGGCAAAATATTGTGAACTGAGGAAATCAGGACTTTTGCACAGCACTGTAGACAGGTGCTTTGTTAGTTAACTCATGTAAGTTCTCAAAATATACTGACAGAAGAGACACAATAATGAAAAATGACATAAACAGATGCAACATAAAAGGTTTTCACAGAACAAATGTGCGCTCTATTATCAATTGTGCAATTCTGTATTTATTTCTGTATTTATTTGTTGATGTTTTGGTGCCCAGAATTACTTTATGTTTCTTTTATTATAAACATTCCTTAAAATGTTGTTATGTTCCTTTGCTGACTCTGAGTTTGAATTTACAATGTGCATTCTGTGAATGTGAGTGCTGACTTGATGTTAAATACTAAACCTCACCTTTATATGATTTCCATGTTAAATGCAACATTTTCCCTGAGTTAAAATATTTGCCAGGCTTCCCTTCACTTAAATCTCCACCATGATTTCACCACATTTTCATGGGTTTTCCTGAAACACAGACAAAAGCCTTTTCTCCCTCGTATCTTTCATGTCTCTTTTATAGCTTGCCCTTCACTTCCACTCCCTTCTGCTATCTACTCTCTGTCTTTCTCGTATTTTATCCCTCCACTAATGGGAAAATGTATGTTTGCCGGGGGAGGTGTTGCTGTGAAGGCAAAACAGTGTCTTGCGTTACTTCTGCTCAGCTGCCTGCTTTTAAGATGCTGCTGCTCTCTGTTCAGCATATGAACCATTGAAGGCCAGCCTGGGAGAAACTCCCTTTGATACGGAGAATAAAACCCACACGCATACACACCTGCATAAAAGATACACTAGCAACTGTATCACTGTGAACAGGGAAAGACTTTCCTGCCCTTTCTGGATTCTGCATACGATAGACTTTATTGCCATTTCATGAAATGCAGCACACATATAATTAGAGTTCAGTACAGTTAGTGACACTCACATGCATTTGCAGAAAAGAACAAGATACACCTTCAGCGATTTTAGATCACCAGACAAACATAAACTGCACAAATTCCAACCTTTTTGGTGGTTTGTTAACAATAACTGCTTTATAGATCAGTAATAAATCACAGTTCTAGATTATTTAGAATATTTTTGACTCAGTGATACAACATTCAATTATTAACACCTCATTTAAAATTTATATTAATGGTTTCTTCTTCTTCTTTTGCATGCTCCCTTTAGGGGTCACCGCGATGGATCATCTGCCTCATTCTCACACTATCCCTAAATCCTCCTCTGTCACATCAGCCATCTGCATGTCCTCTGTCACCACAGCCATGAACCTTCTCTGTGATCTTCCTCTTTTTCCTCCAGCCTCGCAGCTCCATTTTTAAAATATATCTATTATCCCTCCTCTGCAAGTCCTCTCATCCTTGTCTCTCTGACTTTGTCTCCAAACCTACCATCAGCTATCATCTTGTAAACCTTCCCTTTCACTCATGCTGCTTTTGTCACAAATCACCCCTGACACTCGTCTCCACCCAGTCCACCCTGCCTGCACTCTCTTCTTCACTGTCCGTTGCTTTGGATTTTCGACTCAGTGTAGTTAAACTCATCCACCTTCATTACCTCTGCTCCTTGCAGCTTCACTATTATTAATTAAAATCGTTCATAAATATTATGTCAGTGGAAATCAACAGCCCTCTCAAGGGTAAGAGGAAAGAGAACAGACAAAGAAGATCATGGAGAGACAAGGACAAAACACAATGGCAGAGAGAAGAAAAAAGTTAATGCCATGCTGGAGTGGTATGTAAATGCAGCTGTAGCATAAAGCCATAAGAGGAGAAGAAATGCTCATTGCATCTTAGCAAGTCCCCCAGCAATATTGCATCATAATCAAGACATGGTTCGGGGTCACCTGATCTAGCCCTACCTATAAGCTTAAAAGAAAAAAGGAGAGTTTTAAGCCAAGAGTAAAGAGGGTATCTGTCTCCTCAAACTGGGAGCTGAGTCCACAGGGGAGATTGCTAGCTGAAGGTTTTGCCTGTTATTCTCCTTTTAGAAACTATATACATCAAAATATCACCAAAAATTAAGCGAAAAAAAAAAAACATCAGTCAAAGGAATCTTCAGAACCAACTCATCCATTAGGTACCTTTATTAAATAAATAATAGCAAAAGCTTTGTTTATCTTGCATCTTTAAAACACACAAAGAGACAGCAGTTTAAATGTGAAATCAGGACGTACGATGCTAAACATGTAAGATAAGGTTATAATAGAAGGGTGAGACGCGTGCACGCGCACATTATTACATTACTAAGCAGGATGACACTAATTAAAAGGATGTGCCCGAGGGCCGCGTGTGGTAAAAAGTGTTGGGGAGCGATAAAGGAGAGGCTTTTGTAACTAACATAGCAACAGTGCTGCATGACCACCGGTGCTCCGTGTCCGTGACAGCTGGGTCCATTGAACTGACAGCCCGGCTTCGGCTCTCCATTGGTGGAAGAAGTCATCCATCCCGGGAACGGGCCCGCCCCTTGTCCCCGACGCGGCACATGAAAAAAGCCTTTGAAGTCGCGAGGGCGGTGCCGAGCAAATTATGCCATGTGGTGCTCGAGAGCGGGGTTTTCATTGGACGGCGGTGAAATGGTCGCCGCCCATTTTTGAAGGATACCCTCTCTGATTGGCTCAATCGGCCACCCCAGATTCGCCGTGCGCGCGTTCACAGTTTTCCTATTCTCCCTCGCGAGTTACGTCGGCAGCGTGAACGTCTTTCCGTGACGCCGGAGCAATCCCTCGAACAATTTGCGGAAACGGCGTACCTACCATGCGCAGCGACAAAGACTGCGAGCCTGAAACCTATGGGGAAGGAATAAAAAAAGAAATTTCGTATCGTCGCACTCTGTGCTTAAAGACCAGTATTTTCTGAGGAGCTCGCCGGCCTGGGGTCTCGGTAAAGACACCGAAATTTAACCGAGGCAAGGCTGGATTTAGAGTCGGCGTACGGCTAGTGAATTCGCTGAAGAAGACTGTAGCAGCTGGCAGATTTTCCGTTGGACCGTCTGTAGGCTAGGGTAGCGAGGGAGCCGCCATGGCAGTCGGATCATTGAGCCTCCACATCGGGATATGAAGTGGAACTGCATGTGTCCCGAATCGTTAAGAAAACGCCGCATTTGTCACCGATCCGCACCGGATCAGCATCTGAACTAACCCTTCTTCATCTCCGTGAAATCGATTCCGCACCCCGAAAGAAATTACCGCTGGTTTTTAACCGTGGGGCCACAGGGAGAGGCCAGATTCATGACTATTTTAGTCGGATACGTGTCTTCAAAGGCCCGCTGAAAGAAATCCTGGAGCACAAGGAGGAAACGATGCTCTGATAGACCGTCGGTGGAAAAGAAAAGGGTCATTTAGTGGCGATACGAAGTAGTGTGAAGGATTCCTGGGATAAGGGGATCTCTTTCTGGCTGACCTCCCCGTGAATTACAGTGATATTAATTTACTGTCATCCCCCCCTCCTTTTTGGATTTTTTATTATTATTTTTTATTTTTGATGAGAAGGTTCGGCGAATCGATCAGCTCCGCCGTTTAAGCAAGTCACAGTCGAGAGAATCAAGGGGATCGTCGGATCATGTCGGGTCGGCCCAGGACCACATCTTTCGCCGAGAGCTGCAAGCCAGTGCCGCAGCCTTCAGCTTTCGGCAGCATGAAAGTCAGCAGTAAGTACACCCGTGTAATTCTAGAGTGGCAGACTTTTCCTGCACGCACCAGGCCCACCGTGGGCTGCATATGCTCGCTTAAGTGTCCTCTCACTAACTAGACTGGAAATGTGTCAAGTTAGCATACGGTTAGCTCCGGGAAGCTTATCTCTGTCATATATGTGTGTCACAGAGCGAGACAGTGGATGGTGCTGAGCGGCACACACTGCTGCTCGCCCCGATGTTGGCACACAGCGTTACGCGCTCTGTCGCGCCGCCCCGGGGCCGGTCAGCCGGAGCGGGGTTAGCAGGCCGCGCCGGGAAGGGCCGGGCCATAGGAAGGTAGTGTTGGCACAGGCCCAGGTCAAAACCAAGCCTCCTTCTTCCACCGCAGATCCGGCCTGATTATTGTCCATTTGAATGTAGATTAGATCGCGTAGAGATATTGCCACACAGCACCAATCACATGCGTAATGGAGTTAAAGCGATAGGTCCGGTCTATTACGCAACTGTCAGAACGGAAGGTGCGCCCGTAGTTGAGTCGGGCAAAACTGACGCGATCCTACGGGGGGTGGTTTATTAGCCCTGTTTCCACTACTTCCACGGGCCGTGTCGCGACGACCGGAGGGAGTGTGACATCAAGTCTGTTCATGAAGCCACGGTGGCACGGTGCCGGAGACCGCTTATAGACTGGCTGCAGAGAGGAAGCCATGCGACTGACTAGGCCTGTCAGCTGAGCAAGTGGCGGGGTGGGGGGCTGGCAATGTGGGTGCTAGACGCCTCTCTTTCGTCTAGTCTATCCATCACCACGGCGATCTCAAGGCAAGGCGCACTCGCTCCCATGCTGAAGATACTACTGCTGTGTTGGTTATATTTAATGGCCCAGTTAGAGCTCAGTCAGTTTAAATAACATCAAATTAACACTTTACATATCTAAAAGTCTTTTCATTGAAATTAATTTATAAGTATAGCATCTTTATTATTAATGAGTATCGACTGTCATAGATGGACACTTGCACAGTTCCTAGTTACACCCCTGTCTTATCTGACACACAGATGGGTGGGGTGGAGTGGAGTGGGGTGTGAGGGCACGTACCTGTTAAGGAATGCTGATGGAGCCTTAAGGCTGTGATGTGAGCATGATGTATGTCAGGCGGGTGAGGCCTGAGCTCAGGCTCATGTCTGGGCCTTGGTGCTGGAAACCGATTAGTGCACTGTGACACACACACACACACACACACACACACACACACACACACACACACTCTCCAAACCCAAGCCTAATTCTTGTCTCGCCCCAGGTGCATGTATGGGTCAGGTCTGCTAAATGTGAGAATTAATTTTTTCAGACAAAAGTTTTGGAGACTCATCTGGTGACTCAGTACTTTTTTATCAACTAAAATAATAAGCTGAACCTCTAGTTGCTCAATTAAATAGGTGTTTGATAATCTGATGTCTAACAGCAGGTGGTGTTCATCTCCATGGAGGAAAGTAGAGTGGCTGATTGCTCAGATGTCCCCTGTTGTAAAATTTTTCAGTATTTTGTCTAGTGTCAGTTATATCGTTATCGCAAATTTTCAAATGTATGACGTGATAAATAGTTTTGGTCATATCGCCCTGCTCTAGTTCCCAATCTTTAACGATCAAGGATGACAGCAAATCTAAATCACTGAGTTTTATTTTTTCTTGTAACAAGCAGCTACATATAATTTAACTTTCTTTTTAGTTATAGTTTTAATCTAAGGTAGGCTCTGTCACACAGAGGTATGTGGTACGCAGTTTCAGTTGTATAAAAACTGTACTTTGGACTGTGTCACTTAGCTGGAATCTACCTAGACTTGTTTTTTCATCCGGTCCAGGATGTCATCCACTATTATCCTTTCCTCCACCATCCTATAACACACACACACTTGGTTAGATATATGCACTCAAATGTGTGTGTAATAACTTGGCTGATGGTCCTAAACAGCTGTAGCCACTGCGTATGATCCTGGAGAGAATGCTCTTACCCCTACTACACAGGCAGACGGAAACACACATGCATATACATACATACAGTACATTCACACACCCACTCGAGCACCCTCAGGTTTTGTTTTTTGGGGGGTGAGGCAGCTGGCCAGGAACAATGAGCAGCTTGTTTAGCATCTCAAAGCAGCAGCTCTCTCTTCCTCTTTTCTCCTTTTTCCTGTCTGTCCCCCTCTCACGTTTTACAAGTGATGACGAGAACAAAATGAACTAATTATACTCTTTGATTCCAAACGAAACAGCAGGGCTTACAGACGAGACGAGGACCACCGGAATCGCTCAGGGTTTAGAAGAAAGATGAGATCTATTTTTTTTTTTTTGTGAGTGAGAGAAAGGGAGAGCGAGAAAGCTAAATAAGATGAGTGTAGTAGTGCAGCAATGGCTCTGCAGGCTGCACGCTACCCTGACATCTACAATCCATGCACCAATATTATGTCTCCATCTCAGTGATTCTTGGCCAAGTTTGCTTTGCATTAGCTGTAACACTCGTTCCAGTAATGCAGTAAATTATCGTGTCAGCTTTACAACGGGGGGGATTCTGCAAAATTGTTTGTACCTGTGTCTGCATTACAGGAGCTGAGGACTGCGAAGCAGCAGATGCGCGTCTGTCATGAAAGACACGTGAATGCAGCATCAGTGGGGAAAAAAATAAAGAGAAATCTATTAATATTAATAAAAAAATGAAGCATAGCAAGGGAAAAATGACAGTGAAATATATACGGTATATACCGGAACTGAGCCAGAATGCCAAAATTTTGTATCTTAATTGCTTTCAACTTGCTTCTAGGCAGCCACTACACTTTAAAGCAATGTAGACTGAAAAAGAGGAGGCTGGAGAGGTGTAGAAGAAAATGCAAGAGCTGTCACTGCCACTTCCTGTTACCTGTGTGAATGCAAACAAAAAAGGTATTGAAAAGTAGTAGCGACTCCTTAGAACTGTTTGATCCAATGCGTGGATGCTTCTGCTTGCCAGGTTCAGGCATGACGAGGCCTAAATGTTCTCCTGACTCGACAGCGTAAAATATGGCACGCATATCTTGAGCTAGGTTTAAAATCTAAGCTTAGTGATAAGCCCGTCAGGTTTTAGTTACCCTAAAGGTTATAAAAATATCTCTGCGTGCACTCTTCAGGGCTTGCACCTATGTTTAGTTGGGTGTTGATGCTTGGACCTAAGGTTTCCCAGCAGAACACTGCCTTGTAACGAGTCGTCCACAAATCCCCTGTCAGTAGTTCCCTTGCGTAGCTGATTGGTGTGTGAGCAAGTTATTGTGTGCAATTCTTTGCCAAAATTCAGAAAGCAATGGGCACATGGGCTGTTTGGCAGGCTTTGCATTCTTTGACATTCACTTGTAGTGATGCAACATGAATGGTGTGAAAATTATTATTCGCACTGCAGTAAATACATGACTAATTTTATGACTGCAGCTTGATTACTGCTGCATATTTATACCCCTGTAGTACTTGGAAAGAGTGTGGCTGATCATGCTGTGGGAGTCGAGTGTAAAACTACAAAGAAAATTTCTTTGTTTAGACTTCCGTGTCAGACAAAATACTAATGCATTAACTTTAGAAGGGGTAAAACTGCTATTGCATTAATAAAAAGAAGCATCTTGTCCAGAACTTGGACCATGGAATAGTGAGCGTGGAGGATTTGTCTTTAGAATTATGCCATGTTATTCTGTTCATCATCAGAGCCAAGGCACTGCTGTATATTAATAGCTAATAACTTATTGAATTATCGTGTACATGCCACAATGTGAGTGTGGTCATTTTGTGGCTATTTTGTGGCTAATCTTCTGTTTTGAGGAGGGACTGACAGATAATTTCAGTGGCAATATAATCTTCTTTTTTAGGGGTAAAATTCTGTTGGGCTGTGATTAAAAGAGAGTTTAACGAAACAATAAAGATGTGATTAATATTTGCCAGCCACAGGAAGACTTGAGAGTCAGAACTCAAAGTTCTTTTACTGACTGTGACTGTGGGGAGACGTCCACACAGGGAGCAATTTGTTGTCACGAGGCGTTTAGAGGCCGTAGAAAGTCAGTGACACTCAACGTGACTACGGGCAAAAAAGATCCCACTGGTGACGCGTTGAAGCGACTGCCAGTGAGAGGACAGGATACAGGTGGTTGACATGACCTGGTGGGAAATGCCTTAAAGGGTAACCTCGGCAACTGGAACCTAGAATATCTTCTGTCGACCAACTGTCAGCATCAGACCAGTGATCGCTTCCCTGTGCGGATGCAACCTAACCTGAAAGGGACACGTCCTTCCCTCTCATTGGTAGCTGCTTCATTTTCTCATCTGGGGTTGATGAAAGTTTAACTCAGGATCCGCCCACCTTGCATTGCCAGCAGTTATTTTGCTCCACATCACCTGAAGTTGCTGAATATTGTTGACTATTTATGGTCTCTTGTTGCCAAGATGCTGCTGGTTGCTTCCTTTGTGGATGCCCCTTAAAAGTACTTCATTGCCCTCCACTAGAGAAAAATAAATGACAAAAAGAGAATAAAAGTGTTGCTTTTAGGCAACACTTTACAAACTTAATCACGTTACTTATCCCATAATAAGCTTCAAATAACTGCAAGTCCTTATTTAATATTCATGTCAGGAAAATTAAGATGATCCACAAGTCTGTAAGTTAAAAAGTTGTTTTTTCCCCTTGACTTGATTTGATTTAGATGAACACAGATGAATTTATGACATTTGCGCAGGTAGTTTTTCAGCAGCTTTGATAGAAATACAGGGTTACACGTTTTTAACAGCAGCAGCCGCACACGTGTCCTGTGACTGCTCAGCAGCAGTGTTGTTGTGCGCACGCGTTAGCCATATTCAGCCGTGGCCTGAACTAGTCTGCTGACCTGAATCGAATATTGATGCCGCTGGTTAAACGTCGCATTGCAACAACCGTCTCTGCTCTGTCACTTTGTAGATATGTAATACAGCATACGTACATAGAGTGATGCACTGCGATTTATGTATTAACTAGTGTACTTGTCGCAGGCTGACTGATAAGTTAACAATTCCCGCGCATGCTTGAAGATGTTTGTTGTTGCACTGATTTCTCTGTTATTGGTGCAAAATTCATGTTTGGTTATATTTAAAGAACTCTTTACATGTAATAGAAGTTTTTACCAGATGCTTTTGTTTGTTGGGGATAGTTTATTATAGGCATGGACAGATTATTGGTTAAACCAATATTGGCCTTTTTTACTGTAGAAATATTGGTAGAAATGATTGTTTATCAATGCCTGGATCCATTTTTTTGTCTCCCCAATGTTTTTTAGTTTTCTAAAAGTTAAATGACAAAGTGATTAAGAACTAAACTGCAGTTAAAGCTTTTAGGATTTTTTTTAATTTATTGTAGTAAAGATTTGCTTGTTTTCCTGGTTTATTGTTTACTTATTAGAATAAATAGGTGCCCTTTGCTTTATAGGAAGTTACATTTCTTCTCACATGTGAACTGAAGGTAATTCCTAATTGTGTGCAATTGTAATCGTTTCTCTAGTCTGTGTGAAAAGTCCTGCTTCATGCGTGTCCAGTTAGTCACTCAAATGACATTTGATCGCTTGGTCATTCCTTCCTTACGGCAGTGTGGGTTCCCAGTATGTGTTTGTGAGCAGGCACAGACTTTTCTCACGGTTTGAGGAAGTGCAGAGGCGTCATAGAAATGGCCCTGTTGGAATATATGTAGGCAGAGTCATATTCCTCTCTCTGTCCACAGTCCTGGAAAGTCTATTTCTGTTGGTACAGAATCCATCTTTAGTTTCCCTTTCTAGACTTGGTCCTGGAGAGAGAAGCTGTCTCTTTTTCCTTTTTTTTGGTTTCTCAGACCCCTCCACTGTTTTCTCCCATTCCTTCCCTATTCTTTGATTGTAATTGCATCTTTGGTAATGGAGCCTCTCGCTGGCCACTGCAAACGCACATTAATAATTTTATGTCTGGATTGAGCCCGTGTGTGCGCCGGCGTCCGTGGGGGGACTATTTGCATCGAAATCAATGGTGGTGTTGGAAAATAAAATCAGCAAACCAGTGAAAGTAAGAAATAGGACTGGTTAACCTCCACACCCTCGGTTATAGTTTGAGGTCAAATGTTGATTTGTGGATTAGCAGTGCGGGGTTAATCAGTCCGAGGAAATTGTTGATTCAAAACACACATGCAAACAACCCATGACCTGGTACTTTACTAGAAATCAGCATGACATGCACACCCACTCAATATGGGTGGACGCAGCGGCCTTCCAGAGTCCATCCAACCAGTTGTGTTTGCTGCCTACCGCTGTGAGAAATTCAAAGAAGAATGCATTTGATATTTTTGACTTGTTTAGGCTCCTCCTCTGAAGTCTGGGTTAAGTTCAGACCTGCCCAGTCATCCTTTTTACTGCCAGCTAATGTAGAGTTTCCTCAATTTTACAGCTCTTTCCACTTGTGCTTTTTTTTTTTTTGTCTGTCTGAGGCTAAAGCTGATAGGCATGACAGTAACACGGTTCAAATGTTCATCAGTAATACACGGTCCTTGCCTGCGTTGTATGACTTGTGAATCGAGGACCAATTTGACGCTTTGATGACCAAAGACAGCCTGCAGCAGAATTCAGAAACGGTGTCAGAGAACGAGTTCTCACAGTGTGACCCACATTTAAAAGCCAGTCCATCACACATGAATCAATACACCAGTCAACTGTCGTTCTGAATAAAGTTCAGTTTGAAGATTTTTTTTAAAAATTCTTTTATTTTTTAAATGCTTGGAAGCACTGCTGCAGTGGTCACACAGTGGTCTGGTTTTCTGTGAAATATCTTTGGATTTTCAGACAGGGAGCTCTGAGACTCACCTGAAACTCTCAGGATCATGAGCATTTTTACTCTTCTTTCATGTATTTCAGACAAAATGATTCGGAAAGAATATAATAAATGGGAAAATCAATGTTTTGATCTAATCTACACGGATCTGAACACTTGTGTGTTGCTTGTGTCTTTGTCTGTATCTGCAGGGGACAAAGATGGCAGCAAGGTAACGACAGTTGTGGCCACCCCAGGCCAAGGCCCCGACCGGCCACAGGAAGTCAGCTACACGGACACCAAGGTCATCGGCAATGGCTCTTTTGGCGTCGTCTACCAAGCTAAACTCTGCGACTCTGGAGAGCTGGTGGCCATCAAGAAGGTCCTGCAAGACAAGAGGTTTAAGGTAAAACTTGTTATGACTGAGAACAGCTGCAGGCGTAATTGACGAGTGTGCATATAAACACAAACTCAATGTTTACCCTCCAAATCACCCTTTTTTTTTCTTTTCTTTCTTTTTTTTTTTTTTAAAACAAAAAATCCATGCTATCAGAGTCGAGATGTGTGGCATTAATGAATGTTCCGGGGTAACCGTGAAAGAGACATGAATGGAGAGATCTTTCACACGAACGGGGAGATCAGAGAAGCTGTGAAACAAAAGAAAACAAAAGAAGAGCGGGAAAGTTTGTCATTCAACACATTCCTACTTTAAAGCGTGTCTTTTCTTCTTCTTGCAGAGAATGTGCGTGTTTGTGTAGTAGTGGAGCGGAGGTCTTTTCTCACACCGACAAACTCAAACACATAAATACTCCGTCATCCGTCAGCTTGCAAATGTCATGTTTCTTTCCAAGTAGAGCTCTGCTGGAAATCTCCTCCTGTGCTTTGAATAGATTTGGCTGATGGCTCGTTGTTCCTTCATTTGGGCAACATTGTCTTTGCTCCACTGGTTCATGGCCTCCGCTGAGTGTATATGGGTGGAAATAAGTGTCCCGAGGATCATGTGGATAGGATGTTTACATGAAAGACACAAACTTGATAATAAGATGTATATAAGCAACATTAGCTGGGATTATTTTTGAGTGCTTAGGATAGCATATTTGGGTCTCTTGTTTCAGAAATCAGGATATGATGTTTATGTGGCAAAGACAAAATGGGATGCTTCAAAAACTCATGTTCATATAAACAAACTCATTGTCCCTGCCACTAGACCTCAGAAAGCAACGCTTGCAGAAGAGCTGTTTAGAGTTTCATCAAGTTTAAAGGCTTTAAAAAATGAGCTTCCACAGTATTTTAAGTGTGTGATCAGGCTGGGGGTAAACTGGGTAACAGCTCAAAGTGTTAATCTTGCAGTTGGTTATTTTATACATATGTATAATGTTTGTTAAATGGTTTAAATTCAAACCAGCGCTTCTTAACCTATTTCTGGGATGCTTCACTTAAAAAGCAGCCATAAACTCTAACACTGGGATCAAAGTTTTATTTATTAAAATACCAGGATACCATCAGTCAACTCGTGTTTGTTTCACTTTCACCAGAAAAATGATATCTGTTAACTTAGCTGGACTCCACATTTTTACCCAGGTCACCTACACTGGTTCTCTTCCTCACCGCTGAAGCCAGTGCAGTCTAATTAGGGATGTTATTGGATTTAGTGATACCAATACTATTATTGAGTCTGCTTAAAGGGCTTATTCTTTATCGATTCTCTTATTGATTGTTGATCAATTTTCTGAAAAATGGAGGCCCATTCTTGTTTTCAGCGGCCAGTATAGCAACAAAATATAAAAATAGCTTATGTTAGACTCAGGTACTCAACATGCTAAAGGAAGTTATTAAGCTTGCAGGTGTGTGATTATGGTGTACTGGACAGTTTAGTAGTGGTTCTTAACTGGAACTTGGTTCTTGAAATGTAAATCTATAGTAGTCACATGTTTCAGTTTCTTTAGGCTCCAGTCACACAGAATAGAAATCGGTCGGCAACCAAATGCAAACTTCAATTCAATTCCATTTTATTTATATCGTGCCAAATCACAACAACAGTGGCCTCAAGGCGCTTTATTTTGTAAGGTAGACCCTACAATAATACATACAGAGAAAAACGCAACAATTATATGACCCCCTATGAGCAAGCACTTTGACAGTGGCAGTGGGAAGGAAAAACTCTTTTAACAGGAAGAAACAGCCAGCAGAACCAGGCTCAGGGAGGGGCGGCCATCTACCGTGATCGGTTGGGGTAAGAGAAGGAAAACAGGATAAAAGACATACTGTGGAAGAAAGCCAGAGATTAATAACAAGTATGATTCAGTGCAGAGAGGTCTATTAACACATAGTGAGTGAGAAAGGTGACTGAAGAAGAACTACTCAATGCATCATGGGAATCCCCCAGCAGTCTACACCTATTGCAGCATAACTAAAGGAAGAATCAAGGTCACCTGGTCCAGCCCTAACTATATGCTTTAGCAAAAAGGAAAGTTTTAAGCCTAATCTTAAAAGTAGAGATAGTGTCTGTCTCCCGAATCCAAACTGCAAGCTGGTTCCACAGAAGAGGGGCCTGAAAACTGAAGGCTCTGCCTCCCATTCTACTTTTAAATACAGTGCGAGAGCAAAGTGCTCTAATAGGGTGATATGGTACTATAAGGTCATTAAAATAAGATGGGGCCTAATTATTTAAGACCTTGTATGTGAGGAGCATGGTTTTGAATTCAATTCTGGATTTAGCAGGGAGCCAGTGAAGGGAAGCCAATATGGGAGAAATATGCTCTCTCTTTCTAGCCTTTTTTTGATTAACTGAAACCACTGTAAGCTACGGGAAATGCTGGTGAGTGGTTGCTACCTCCTTGGAATTGTCTTGGTTACAATAAGACAGCTTGTAGTTTGCAAGGGAGACGCAAACGTGTCCACAAACAGTGCCGCTGTGCACAGACTGGTGGTGAAACAGTGAAAAGTACAATACAAATGGAAACAAAGACGCTTAGCCTTGAAAGTAGAAGCTACACCTTTATGAAACATGTCAGCAGTAAAGCTTAATTTAGGCTTCTGCAGGAAATTTACGTCTTAACTTACATAGTAACTCCTTTTATCTCCACACTGCAACCTTTCACACCACTCGAGTGGTTGTGGTCGTCGACCCAACGTGTAGTTACGTTTCTCAGGAGGTGCCTGTCTGGCGTAGAGTTGAAATAGGATTCCGGTTATTGCGTACGTTACAATGTAGATCTGACGCAGGAGTATAATTTACATGTTAGGCTTAAACTTGAACTTTGTGTTTGTGTCAATGCAAACTAAGGGTGACCATGGCTGCCTGCTAGCCACGCAAGGAGGATTTTTTTTGTTTTGTTTTTTGGTGCAGCGCTGTCTTCGCAATCGACAACCCCTAGCGACAGCCAGCAACCTCCAACAACTTGTCAGCCAGGTAGGGAATACACATTTTTCCCGGCAACTGAAGGTTACCAGGGGCTCACCAGCCGACCTCTAGAGTTGCTGCCATTCCAACCACAACTGAAAGTCACACCTTAAAAAAAACGAGTGCACTATTGTCGTGTGAGACTATATATTTGTCATACACACAGACACTCAATACAGTAACAACTACCAGCTGAGTTGGGGTTGGTTTGACTGGGCTCTTCCAGCCTAAGCACAGCAATTACTTTGCAGCTCTGAATGGACTCACACTTAATTTCTAACCTCACAGGCAAAAATAAGAAGTTTTTGCAATGATTAAAGGAGATACATTTCAACTGTAAAATTACTGCAAAAAACAATTTATACCTTACATCTCTGACCTTGTGATGCTGTAAAGTTTGTGTACGTTCTACCCATAAGCTTTTATTTCACTGTGTGACAAGAGATGCTTTAATTGTAGACATTTGACTAGAGGAAAGGGGGGAAAAAAGCACAGACGTTACTAAAAATAGCAGGGGCTATGTCGTCAGACTATGGTTCCAGTAAACAATGGCTGCAAACCAGGAGAAGCAGTTCACATTTACATGCATTTAAAGTAAAACTGAAAATACAAAATGAAATGCTGGCATGAAGAAAAGAGGAAAAAAACGAACTAAAACTGTATTGACAATGATAAATGGGTAGGTTATGTGTCATACTACATACATGCCCCTGTTATAAATAAATAAATGAGTAGTATGTCTAATGGGAATTAAGTCTGTTAATATTTGATTTAAGCTTGGAAGGCAGAGCTATTCCCTTCTCGCTCATCATTTTATGTCCGTTATTCCCAGGAGGAGAACGCTCACTGTTGTCTTGTAGACTCCCATCCCGCTGCTCTTTTTCTTTTTACCCATAACTGTGAGAACTGCTCACAAAGTTCAGTCAAATCTATTTGCCTGTAGCGTTTTCACCCAACTGGTTCAGCTAAATGCTTGAGCTACTCAAAACCCTGGGTTTAACCTGTTGGAGATTCAGCACAGTTTTTCTTTTCCTCGGGATGTGCTAGTCCTTTGCTCTGTGAAGCCAGACAAGATGAATGATGTCACTTAATGGTGTAGGGGGTCGGACATCTGCCACCAAATTCGCGGTGCTCGTTGCGGACGCTCACACTGTCTTTTTGTGGCTCTGCGTGCCGGCCCCGGTGAAGTCACATCCTGCTCTTCCTGTTAGCCTGTGGTTAGCATGACGTGCTAGCAGGCCGCCTCCTCTTTTAAACAGCTCAGTGAAGCTCACGCTGGTTTGATTGTTCAGTTTCCTCTTTAGAGAAGACCCTCTGCCTCAGCTGGCTGTCGCTCTTTCCGCCTCGTCTTTCTCGCTGCTTTATCTGCACGTCCTCCTCATGAACAGCTTGTTAGGAAAAATGAAGCAAATGAGGGCTAAGACTCTTCACATGACTGTCAAGCATGCAGCGCACACACACACACACACACACACACACACACACACACACAAACACCTGCGTTCTATTTTCTTCTCCCCCACTTCAAAAGCCTTTTGTCCACACTTCTGCTTTTTTCCTGTCTGATTTAGTGCTCATCTGTGAAGTGAGCGTGGGTTGAGTAAACCATGCCAGTCAACATGTGTGAATGTTTTATTTTCTCTCACTGGCGCGCGCACACACACACACACACACACACACACACACACACACACACACACACACAACCAATTCAAGTCAAACAGGGTAATCATGTGAATAGGCTTCTGGTTTAACTGTGAGGCTGCTTTGGTGGGCTCACAGTGTTCTTGTTGTCCATTATGGGATGGGTCCTTCTCCCATCCCAACTGAGGGATCACATATCAGTCTATCGGAAAATGGATGCTCGCATTAGACCTCGCTGTCACACAGACCGAGAGCACGCCTGATGGCAGATACTTGTAAATATTATTAACGAATAAAGAAAAATAACAAATCCTGTAAATACTCTGTAGCTGAAACCTGATCAATTTAACCCCGTAGGTTTTTTTTAAATTCATAAGTGTGTGTTTGACAGTTTTTAGTAATACACTTAGAGAAACCCCTTTGTTCTTTTATTTTGGATGATTTACAGTTTGAGTGGGCTTGAGAGGGACCGCAGGTCTATTTTAATTGCATTTAACTTATACATAAACAACATTTCTTCTCATTATTTATATTTAAACCACATCAGATGGATCATTTTTTCATTTGTTTGATTGTACAAGTGCATTACAGTATTTATAATCAACTTATGTTCTCCCACAATGACAGCTCCGTATAATTCCCAAACACAATCCAAAATCTACATTGGTGCTGTAGGAAGCCATTTAAAACGACAAAACCAAGGAACTGGTTGACTCATCTGGAAGTATGAGATGGGAATAACTATAGTAGGACAGGGCTCGTGTTTGCGAAGGTTGTATTGTTCTGTGGCTTTGGCGTTCTTAATCTTTTTGGGATGCGGTTTGGTTTTGGCAGCATCAGCTGCGCGAGGCTCTCAGGTGTAGTCCTTGCAGCCGCCGCAAATCAAGTCATTTTTCTCTTTCCTCTCGGTCTCTGCTGTCTGTGCCGCTCACACTCTGGGGGATGATAGGTCAGCAGGATGGACTGCAGTATAACTGGAGCTGGGTTGGGCTTTACTCGACAGCCTTCCCACTCCTCCTCCATATGCTACTGTCTCTCTCTCTGTCTCTCACACAGAGACACACCCTCGGACACTCCAGCACAAAAAAGACGAGGGCGTTGCCTGCGGCCGGTCTTTGACCCCGTGTGCAGTGATGTCACTCGGTGATGTGGGGGGTTGTGTGTGTGTGTGTGTGTGTGTGTGTGTGTTTGGTTGTCGTGGCTGCGTAAAGGGTAAAAAAGCAGGGGGAAGACTGTGGGGATGATTTGCATCAGCTTAAGTGAATTAGACTGGGGGGTTGTCTGCAGGAGGCTATTGAGCTACCAGATGCTCTGTTGTGCTGCTGTTGTTTAGGTGGAGAGGACCTAACCCTGCTAACATGGGTTTAAAGCCTTATAAAGACAAGGACAGCTGCAAGCATCATCCCGACCCACGTAAGGGACTTTTCATGAGTCACAGCTTCAGACAGACAGTTCAAACCACGCAGTGTTTTGTCAACCACGTTTATCCATATTTCTTTTTACGAAAACCACTGATTTACAGGCAAAACTATGAGCTTAAAATCTTTTGGTTTGAGGAATTGGCATTTTTTTGTGTGTTGTTGCATATAGTGAACAAACTTACCCATTCTGCTATCTTACACTGAGCTGCAAAACCAGTTGATGCCAGTCTGGAGGCTTTTAGAGGCTTTTGTAATGATCGTCTTGACTTGGACTTAAGAAGTTAAACAGTTATCAAAGCCACTGTTAAATAATACTATAAATTTTAGTTAATCATTAGATTAGTCAAAGAGGAAGATTAAATCTCTAGCTGCTGTGTTATATACTAAATAGTAGCACTTATGTTAAGCCTCTTTATTACAGAAGAGCAAAGAGAAGAACCTTCAATAAGTAGTTGTGTATTCCTACATAATGTGTTTTTACTCACAATGATACTAGACAATTTGTGGATGGATAAGTTGCTTAAAAGCACAACAGTCTCTTAACTTCGTAGTTTCAACTGATCACTCTCTGTTTAAAGTCCAAAGCTCACAAAGTAGTTTCTTTTGCCATCACATGTGCATCCAATTTAAACAACACAAAGATGATTTGCATGCGGTGCTTCTAAGCCAATCGTGAAACCTGTCTTTAGACAAGTTCAGACATAATGTTGAGTGGTTGACACTTGCTCTGGTAGCTTGTTAGTCAGCTGGACAGTCATGCAATTCTGTGCTTCCTTAATAACTTTGTCTGTGAATTAACTCTGTAACCAGTCTGGTTACAGGGGAATTAGACAGGAAGCTGCTGAGTTTCTTTGAGTGGAAATGTACATCTGATTTTTTTTTTCCATTAAAAGCATGCTGCATACTGATCATTGTGGCTATATTTGCCATCTTTATGTCACCAAAGTCACAGCGCTTGGTTTCTGAATGTAATCATATTTTTCCCAGAAGCTGCTAGCCTTCATCAAATACAAAAAGAAAGTAAATGTGGGCGGTAGTTCTTTTGTACATCTACAAGTGGACAGCTTCACTGAAAACCCACATCACAGCTATAGAATATGCTGCTCTAATACGTTTCTAATTGAAAATATTAAAATGTACTCATTCAAATTGCAGGACTTCTAACCAAAAGTCAGAATATTACGTAAGGAGTCCGCTTCACTGCTGCACACTGATGGTGCGTTTCTTTTCCACTTTGTCCCTGTACTGAGCTTTCTTCTCTGATCTCTGTGTTAGTTCTCCATATGCTTGTTACCCTCCATTTCTTTCTCGACACCGGGGCCACACAATGTTACACAAGCACTTTAGTCAACACTGAGCACTGTGGAAAAGAGGAGGAAGGAAAATGGAGAATGGGAGCAAATGTGGACTATAATGGAGCTGTTAAAGCTTTTTGTAATGCTTGAATTCCTGCCCAACCTTTGAGAAAATCCATACGCCCAACCTTTTTATGTATGGAAACACTGTATATGAATACAGATGGAGTGGTCTGACATTTTTTTTCTCGGCCTCTGGATTGTCTGACTACAGGGCCCAGAGCTTTACTCGAACCTTTCTGAACATCTTTTTTTTTTTTTGGACAACTCTTTTTCTGGGGCCATTTTCTGTAGGTGCTGGTGCTTTAAATGGGAATCGATGGCTCTCTTCCCCTCCCTGTGGAAGTGTTTGTCTTGGTAACACACTGACCTGCCACAGTGATGCTATTGTGAAACCAGTTGACTAACGGAATGCGTTTTCTGTCATAAGACAGTCATAAGCAATATAAGGTTGATGGTTTATGTTAAACGTTTGGCTTGTCCAAACTGCACTCGTTGCTGTTGAACCCACTGAGGCTGTCACGTAACGCTTCTGACATCTAGTTGTTTAAAAAAAGCTCAAAAGGAACTCTCCACAGTGTGCTAAAGGTTCAGTGGAAAGCTTTCATGATCTCCTGACCCTCTTTAGACCAACTGTGTTATGAAAGCTGTCTGAAGCATAAACATGAAGTATCTCTCACGCTTTTTCTGTTTTGTTTTCTTCTTTTGTTCAGAATCGTGAGCTGCAGATCATGAGGAAACTGGACCACTGCAACATAGTCCGCCTGCGCTACTTCTTCTATTCCAGTGGAGACAAGGTGAGTCGGCTCGGTGTGCTTCTTCTAATTCTTCATCTGACCGTGGAAGGATGCATATTTAATTCTGCACAAATATACAGGAAAAAATATTAACAGCCATCTGTTTAAATTGACTGTTCAGCATAATCTATTTTTTCCATCCTTGGAAAAGTATCGCACCTTGTGGCTGAGGAAGCGTATTCAAGGACGAGCCTTGCTTAGATTCCTCTTTTATGGGCCTTTTTAAGGTATCTTGGGGTCTTCTAAACAAAATAAAAGAAGATCTAAAATTCAATTTATTGACTCTGATTGCAGTAGCATAACACCAGCCTCTTCTACAGAGTATACACTAAATGTGCTCTGTGGACGCTGTACTTTCAGAAGCAGTTGAGCATTTTCTAGCTCAATCAACTTGTTCTGTGTTTAAAGGGACTGGACTCATAGCTTATTTCACTGAGTCCCATTCACAGGTCATTTTGTTGTATTTTGGAATCTGTTGTTTTCCTGTTTTTTTTATTTTTATTTTTTAATGTTTTCTCCTGGCCAGCTTAGCTGTAATAAATACAATAGTACATATCTTGCCTGGAAAGTCCCTCTCTGTGCCCTGCTGTCGGTCTTCGCCGAACATCAGAGGTCCCCTGGAGACTACACGGCTGTGCTATGTCATTCAGCTAGCTTACAACGGGCAAAGGTCTGTGTGTCAAATATAGAACCACGTGGACTTGGCTCACATGCTGTCGGGACTATACCCATGACACGGCAGTTAGGAATGCTTTCCTGTTGCTCACCTAGCGACACCAAGGAAAGCTGTTAAGGTTTGAAGGGAGGGGAGTGGACGGTGAGATGGTCAGAGGGCATCGGCTAATTATAGATCCACTCGAGCTCTCCCTTCCGCGCCGTGCAAGCTCCAAGCCTGTCCCAGGCTCTCGTCACACACCCACTGACCTCTGGGAATCACCTCTAATTCTTGGTATACTGACACAACGCCCGAGGCGACATGTTACACAAATCACCTAACACGCTGCCAACTTTTTTTTATATTGCACAAGTTTCATGTGACTGTACCATTGCATCCACCTTTACATCACTTTCTTGTATAAGTCCCCCCCACCACCCCTTCTCTTCGCCCTCTCCTCACCATGTCTAATTATGGAGACCGGCACCATGTTTTTGGTATGGGATTTTACCACCCATAGAGCTGCTGAGAGGTAGTGAAGTAGCCAAAAGGCAATGTGAAAGGGATGGAGAGTTTCAGGCATGTTGATGGATTGATGGCAGATGGGTTTAAAATAAGTACGGGAAGAAAAAAGACATAGACAAAGAGATGACATGAGAAGAGGTCAGGTGTGTAGGTGCCACTGGTGTCCTGAAATGAGGGTTCATGTTGGGTGCAGCTGTGAGACAGGCAGGGACTGTTGCTACAGTAGCTGTCAGTGTGTGCACAGGTAGTCTTATATAAGTGCTGGCATGTGGCGTGCCTGATGCACACAGTGTGCTTTTGCTTTTACCCTTTAACCACTTGTATAATGCTGTGTTTAAACAGAAGGCCACCGGTCCAAACAGCGTAGGCAGGGAAGCAAATAGTCGCTTGACTTTTAACTATGAAATTGCTCAGAGGGTGCTTGGAACGTACTCTGCTGACATGTAGCTGCCCTGTGCTGCATTTCTTCTTAAAATCACATATATTTACACACTGATTGCTTTCAGTAACATGAAAAAAATTAAGATAACATTCTTGGCAGCAGATTGACACTACAGTTTTTTTTTTCTGTTGTAACAGACTTGAAGACAAAGTTCAGTTCATTTTCAGGTTACTGACTGAACGGTGATTAGAAATATGAGAGGCAGAGTTCAAAAACCAGCTAATTAATTGTTCATAGGTGACGAATCTGCATTAAAATTAACTTGCACTCTCACTTGCAACTTCCACTGGCACATCTAGCACTAGGACCACCTTTGGTCTTCAGAACTACCCTAATTCTCTGTGTCTTAGAATAAATAAGCCACTTGAAACATTCCTCATTGACTTTGGTCCATGTTGACATGCTGTGGTGTTTTAACAATGCTCAGCTGGTACTAAGGGACCCAAAGTGTGCCAAGAAAACACCCCCCTCATCTTTACACCATCATCAAGCCAAAACCACTGATAGCAAGCAGGATGGATCCACAGAAGAATCCACTGAGACCTCTCAACAGAAAGTGAGGAATCTTAGACCATCCGGTATTTTCCCCCCCCAATCTTCTGTTGTCCAGTTTTGTTGAGCCTTTGTCAGCTGTAGCTTTAGTTTTCTGTTCTCAGCTGACACGAGCAGCTCCCAGCGTGCTCTTTTGCTGCTGTAGCCCATTTCCTTCCAGATTTAATGTGTTGTGCATTCAGAGATGCTCTTCTGCTTTTGTTATTTGAGTTACTGTTGCCTTCCTATGAACTCGAAGAAATCTGGCCATTCTCCTCTGGCGAGGATCAGGATATTTTCACCCAGAGAACTGCCGCTCACAGAATATTCTCTTTTTTTTTTTTTTTTCTTCAGACCATTTTCTATAAACCCTAGAGATGGCTGTGCGGGAATATCCCAGGAGATCAGCAGTTTCTGAAAAACTCAGCCTGTCTGGCACCAACAACAACGCCACATTGAAAGACACTTTAATCAGTGTTCTCCCCATTCTGATACTCAGTTTAAGTTGGTGCCATATCATTGACTGATTAGATATTTGCATTAATAAGCAGTTGAAAAGGTGTAACTCTAAAAAGTGTAGGAGTTTATTGAGGACTATGAAATGCATACAATTTGGTCTAGGCGTATGATTCTCGCTTGGGGTGCGAGAGGTCCTGGGTTCAAATCCCGGACGAGCCCCCAATTACGCCCCCAATTAAACATAAGAATAGACTTGTACATTACAATGGTGTAAAGAAATGGTAACTTAATGATAGAGCTGTGACTTTGGTTAATGTCATACATTAGTGTTGGAAATCACTTTGATCATGTCCAGTTAATTTAACGATGTGCAACAGATGCACTTTTCTAACGTGGGCATTGTAACTTTCCTGACTTCAACAGTGTCTTAAAACTGACATCATTATGTGATTCAGACAGGATTCAGGAGGGATGTGTAACGATGATGAGTTTTGTTAACATGGAACTCTCTTTAGACTTTAGTTAATACATCTTTTTTTATACTGCAGCTTACAAAGTGAGCAAATCAAAGTACGCTGTGTCACATCCTATTAGATTTTGATTCCTGTCGGAAAAACGTTTCCATGTTGGGGAAAATATATTGTACGTAATTAATAAAGCTATTGTTGTGCCACGTGCATAAGTGACGCTGATGGATGAATCCTGCTGCTCTGTGATGTTGCAGATATATAATAAACTCAGAGGAACGACTCCAGCACACACAAAGCTTAAAACTAAATTTCACCCCCTGTTATTGTTTTGTCAAAAACCCAAATCATATTTATTGCTCCCACTGAGTTTTGTTAATCTGTTATACTGAATGATACTGAATTGGAGGCCCTAATCTTTGGTGTCCACTATTTCTTCTCCACATTTATAATCAGTCTGGGTGATTAAGAATGTAACCCTGACTAGTTGTTGGAGGCATACATTCTTCTTCTTCTTCTTGTTATTGTGATTCTTGTTGAGGGCATTCCTCACATCAGTCTTTCCTTTTTCTTTTTTTTTGTGGGCTCAGAAACTGGCGACAAGAGAAACCACAGTCTAGTGCGTGCCTCTCCATTAATACTGCAACGAGTTACTTCAGATATGAAGCAGACGCTTTCAGATGCTGTCTGATAAGCAGAAAGACGTGCACGTCACAAACAGATTAAGTGACGTGAATGACTCAACAACCTTGCGTGCTTGGTGAATTAGCTGGAAAGGAAAAGGGAACTGCTCTGGTTTTTTGTGGTATTTGTTGCTGGTGCCTTTAAAGGACTTTTAACAACTGATTTTTAAAAGACAAAATAAAAAAATGTGTATTTTCTGTATGAGAAATAAATCTACATCAAGTTTTCAGTTATTTATTATGTTAGATTATGTTGCACTTGGATGGTGCATATTTTTAAATGAAGTGCAGTGAACTTATGAACTGATGGGTTGACAATGAGCCTGTGTGGCTATTTATGAGTTCAGCTGAAGGATGGTTGTGTAAACATACAAAACGAATAGGCCCAGGGGCACCTCTTCTGCCTCCGGTCCTCCTGACTGGTTGATCCGGCTGTGGATAACATACCAGTGTAGCTTTCTGTTTCTTTCTGGCTTTTTTTTTGAGCTATTAAATCAGTGATTCCAGATTTTAATAGAGACACTGTGGTTGAATAGCCTTGCATCTAGATAATGAATCTGGTAGAGCTGCCACTGGATTTCCCAGGAGCCAGTGAGAGACAGGTGAGAGTTTATGGCTGTGGCTGACATATCTGGCATTGCTCCTGCACATATTAAAGACTTATTCTTAGATTCGTAGTGCCATGTTGCAGCCTTCATTAGCGTGGGCCAAAATAAGGACTCAGTTAACGTCCCTCACATCTTGCTCGAGCTCCGTCTGTGCCGCTGTCTGCCTTCCTTGATTTCACAGACTCATTTGCGCTCACAGTTGTGTAATTTCCTCCCATAATATGCATTTAAATATGCTTCATAATGTCAACACAGAAGCGCAAACACACATGCTAATAAAAGCTTTGCTTGTGAAGACTGACATGCAAACTGTGCGTTACATACTGAAGACTGCTAAGCTTACTGACAGATAGCATAGCCAGGTTTTCTCACCAAATTAGAGGCTGGGTTGCTTAGCTGGGAGTGAACAAGGAGCCAATCGGATCCTGCCTGGCTAACCTCCGGGAACAAGCCAAGGAAGTGGCTTTGTAGTGAGGCAGGAAGTGAGTCATCGCTGTTGCTAGGCTAAATATAGCTTTAGTGGCACCAGAAGGAGGTGTAATGGGCTCTCCAGACGTCACAATTCTTATCAATGGGAGTTTTGCTGGTGAACGAGGGATGGCTGTGTGCTATGATTGGTAGAAGAGAAAGGCACGCAGAGATCGCGTGCTAAGGAGTGAACGCGATGCCAGTGATGGATCAGTTTGTAAATGAAGCTATACTCACCAGTATCGGAAACCCTGTGCGTGCCTGTCCATCTGTCTTCCAGGAGTCAAGGCCCTGTACTTCACTCGCTGTCTGTGTATGTGTCCAGTCATCTGAGTGTGAACAGGAGAGAGCTGTCAGGACAAAGCAGGACACTGAGCTGACAGAAGTGTACCGCACAGTCTGTCTGGAGGCTCTTCACAGGCCCAGCTCACTCATTTTGCTTTGCAGACCTGCAGGGAGCCAGCGCCTAAGCTGCATGTTGGGCAGCGTTGCTAACAGATGGGGAAAAGGAGGCAAAAGGAATCCAGACACTCAGTCCCAGACTAGATAGGAGGGAGAGAAGAAAGCAAGGAATAATTTAATTAAAGTGCAATTTAAAAGCTCAGATTTATTTATTTATTTTTTTTACTCAAAGAGGGATGTCTCATGGGTGTCTGTGCAGATACTGTTCAATACCAGTCAGTGCTACATGATTACATGTAGCAGTATGCGCTCACCGCCCACTGATCCTCTCAAAGATGTCATGATGAGGGAACACATGAGGTATATAGCTTTGCAGATGCAGTTACAGTGTGGGCGATGGGCCGCTGTTATCAAAAATGCAGTTTATCACAGTATTACATGCGCCTACACAGAAGACACACCCATGTGAAGTCCATTTACACTTTATCTTACATTTATGTTTGAAACGAGTGAAGGAGCCTTCTGCCAGTGATAAACGGTGAACGCACACAACTTATATTTTGAAGGCGAGTCAGTTGTGTTGCAAAGATTAAATACTGCATCAGCAAATCCCTTGAAAGAAAAGCAACACCATCAATAAAGCGATGGCCAGGTTTAGCTTCTCGCTCTGCTTCATATACCTCAGCTGTATTTAAAACACATCAGTGGCCCCCAGTGTTGCATGGCTGCCATGTTTCTTCACTACAACATGGCCTGTGTAGTTTATTTTGGGTTAGTCCCGCCTCACCATTTTGGTGCTATGAATACTTACTAGAGCATCAAATGTGTACCAATACCCTGGTGAGAAAAGTCCCCTCCACTAAAGCTCAGCTTGCTCTAGTTTGAGCAATATTAGATCAAATTTGCTCTGTCCAGTGGTTTGGGCATTTTTCATAAGACCACAATTTGTGATTAAGTGGCTGTTGAATGATTTATGCGGATGGGAGGGAAGTCAAAGTATTAAGAGAGACAGCAGGACTGTGGTTGTGCTAATATTTTGTAGAGAATGCATGAAAAATATATAAATTCCAGGTTTGTCTTCTAGAAAAGTGCTCAGTTTGTTACATTGTTACTACTACTGGTATTCTGTTACTGGTTTTATTGTTAGCATTAAATGCTTAGAAGAAGACACTTCTTCTGATGATGGACATTTTCCAAAAAACACCACTGATCACTCAGTGCTGATTTATTCACATCACCCTCAACATGGGCATAGTGTTTTATGCAGAGGCCTCTGCTGTTCCTCCTAGCATGCAATCAGAGCCTGAGCAGGCTAGTTGTCAATGCGTCACGTATGCGTTTGTGAGTAACCTTCCTCCTGAATTTTTAAAGTATTTCTTAACTCTTGCATTTTAGCCTTATACGATTTACAGCCTCCCAAGCTTGAGTTCCTCAAGACACTCTAATGGCTTACTTTGGGCTCATTCTGGCCATATTTAAAGGAAATGGGAAGTCTAAGAATAATTGGGTGGAGAACCCCCCAGATACAGCATCCTTTCATGGTCAGTGCGCTCCAGAGTTCAATGTACACAACCCCGCCCTCCAGCACTGGTCTCGTCCAACCAGGAAACAAGGAAATGATATCACTGTCTGCGGCCACTGTCGGGGCAACGGCCGTTATGACGCACGGTTGTGTGCTTCCTGCCCACAGGGAGAGATACAATGGATTCCCAGTTAGGCTGCAAGAAAGCATCAATTACATCAGCATGAATACGGCTTCTTTCTTAGGAAAAGATGCATCACAGCTAAGAGGAGAGAGACAGGGTAATAGGATGGGGATACATATTTAGATCACAAGTTTTGAGTTAAATTCATGCATTTTCCAAGATTGTGTTGTTTTTCTTAACATGTTTAGATTACAAGTGTCTTTTCTATACAGTTTACATGATTTCTGTCAGTGTAACCATGTTTTTTTCTTTTCTATTGTTGCTTCTCACCGACAGAAAGATGAAGTGTATCTGAATTTGGTTCTGGATTACGTGCCTGAGACCGTCTACAGAGTGGCCAGACACTACAGCCGAGCCAAACAGACTCTGCCTATGGTTTATGTGAAGGTAAAAGCTCTGTCTGTTTAACAAGGCTGAAAAACACAGTTTAAAGTGAACTTGACGGACATGTTTCCAATCTCATATTTTTTATTCTTGGAGTCTACTATAGTAACTTTCAAAACAATCCTCATTGGTGGAGCTCCTTGGTTTATCCACTGACTGAAACAGTTGCTTTAGCAAGCCTTCCTTTAATCCTGCTTACTTCTGATTGGTATCTCTTTGTAAACAGAAGGTTAAAACGGAGCATGGGCGGATGTACTATGAGATGACCATGTAACAATTCTGAAATACATAATAGTTAATCGAATATCTCTGGTAATTCTTACCGGTAGTTACAGCAACTTAGTTAAATCTGAGTTAGTCTGGTGAAAGCTGCAAGTATAAAGACTGTAGATATATCAGTAAAATGGGGTGCGGGCTTTTTGTGTGTGAATCAGTCGTGATAAATTTGGGCTTGGAGAATTGTTATACTTTTAATATGAGACAAGCTGCTTGTAGGTCCACTTTAACCACACTACCCCACTATGTGTCCTTTATCTTCACATTTCTTAAAGTACGTATTTTTCTTTTTTCTACAGAAAGAATATTATCAAATCAAAACATTTTTTTATTAAACAGCTGTGTTGGTATAAAATGTGGCTTAACTCTTCTAGTTGATTATGGGGCTCAGTTTTCATCCAGCATCATAAGATCCAGATTTCACTGAGCTGTGTTATCAGCTTGTTTTTGATAAAAGCTAATTTATCATATTTTGAGAGCTTCACTGCTAAACACTAAATATAAACAGCTCAACAAATGAAAATTTTAGTCCTTGCATATCCCATCTATTTTTGCCCGTAGACGACTTTTACTAACTTTTTAACGTTGTGTTTTGTACAGATCTTAGATTTAGCTAAAAATCATAAAAAATCTCAGAAACAATCTCTGTCTTCAGATTTCTTTTACACAATGTGAAACTTTACTGCTTTGTTGGTTTGCATCGTGTGTGCACACATGAGATGCTACTTTTTAGGACTTACTTAGATGACAGATGTGCGAAACAAATTGGGAATAATTAGCAGAGGCACAAAAAAACCTCCATCTGAAGGACTTTTCTGTATCAATGAAGCAATTAAAAATAAAGCACACCTACTGTTTACTACACCTGCTGTTCCACTGAGCAAATTCTCTGCTCAGTTCTCTTTGAAAGTAAATCCACCATTGTACTATTAATTAGGATTAAACAACTAGTTCACTGTGTTAACAAGTAAAACATTTTTTGATCTTATTTGTAAGAATAGATTGACCTGAGGCGGCAAATTTGAAACAAGAAATGAGTTTGGATTTAAAAATTTGCTTTCATTTTAAAACGTGTGTGTCTATAAAAACACTTCATATACTTAATTTTATCTCTAGAAAAGCTGAGTGACAATGTTTAGGAGTTAAAAGAAACAGTGTGTGAAACTGGAGTCTAAACATTTGCTGTAAAACTCATTCTCTGGAGCTGAAATACAGCCCAGAGTTTCTATATTTTAGTGCTGTAATGGAAGTTTGCTGTTTCTCTAACCTCTGTGTGTGTATTTGTGTGTGTGTTTTCCTGTGTAGTTGTATATGTACCAGCTCTTCAGGAGCCTGGCCTACATTCACTCGTTTGGTATCTGCCATCGGGACATCAAACCCCAGAATCTGCTGCTGGATCCAGAGACGGCTGTTCTCAAGCTCTGTGACTTTGGCAGGTGAGGGACAGTCATGTTTTACACTGATCTGAGTTTTTTCTTTTCTTGGCATTTACAAAAGATGTTCACATTGGTACCGCTGTGATGTCCGATAACATAAAAAGTGAGCGCCAGCAACCAGTTAGCTTGGCTTAGCATGGACAGTGGAAATAAAGGAATGGGTCTTCTGGATCTGTGTGAAGGTTTCAGAAGGCTTCTAAGTAACATTGCTGCTCATCCTCAGTATTTAGCAGTGTCCTGAAGACAGCAAATCACACACTGTAACTATGCACAACCAAGAAAAAGGCCCTGTAACACTGCTGTACATCATTCTTACACCAGATCATGTTGGAATTAAGCAAACGAGACTGACCCCTGTTTACATCTCTTCTCATATGACTTTATATTTATGAGCATGAGAATGAAATCAGTCTCCAGCTCTAAACATACCTAGTCAGTCTGTTTCCCCAAATGTTACTCTCTTCCTTTTGAAGAGTTTCACCCTTAAGCTGATGCACACTGTGTGGCTGCCTGGTTGAACTGAGAAAATAGGTGAGGCCATAGTTAAAGTCATGTGGTGCCATGAGTCTAGGTTTACTCTGTTCCTGGGAGATGAGCACACTGTACCCTGAAGAGAGGTAGATAAAAGTGATGCAGCCACCATCATTGTCATCATACCTGTACCTGCCCTACAAGCCTGTGGAAGCAGTGTTATGATCTGGGGTTGCTTCAGTGTCTCAGGTCTAGGTTCAGCAACATTATCTGCCCAAACATGAGGACAGCGGCTACCTGAACGTGCCGAATAATCAGGTTTTTTCCTTGTTCAATGGAACGGGCACATTCCAAGATGACAATGTCAGGATTCACTGGGTTTAAATTGTGAAAAGAGTAGTTGAGAGAGCACGAGACATCATTTTCACACAGAGTCCAGACTGTATCTCCACTGAGAAGCTTTGGGATGTGCTGTAGAAGACTTTCAACCAACTGTCCAATTTGTTCAGTTTGTTAGTGGAAAAACGTGAACCACCTCTGGAGTGAAAATGTCGTAATAAATGTTGCTTAAACGTATCAAAACAATGCCATGGAGAATGCAACGCCTAAATCCAGCAACATAATAATGTGGGAGCTGTTTTCAGGCGCATTATACAGGCTCTAGAAAGTGTGCAAAAGTCAAACTGAGATCAGCGTGCGTTGTCGAAAACAGATGATTTATTTACTTTTCATTCGTTAGCATAAATGCTGATTATATTTGTAGCAGAAATGTAGAAATCTTCCTTTTAGCTGTGTGTTTGATTGGATATGAAGTCCACTGAGGTTTTATCACACGTGTAAATCCTCAGTACTGGGTGTTTCTTCAGGTTCATTTTTTCCCTTTTTTTTGAAGTATGCAGATGGTGGTGATGATGATTATTTGCTATGATTTTGTGTGCAGCGCTAAGCAGCTGGTCCGTGGAGAGCCTAACGTGTCCTACATCTGCTCTCGCTACTATCGAGCCCCTGAGCTGATCTTTGGTGCCACTGACTACACTTCCAGCATAGGTAGGCTAACTCGAGCAACAACTCTCGCTGCCTGACACATGCACATTCATCAGGAAATTATGAGATCGTGTGTTACTTATGATAAATGGACTGGTTCTTATATAGTGCTTTTCTACTCTGGTTCAGCACTCAAAGGAGTTTATAAGCTTTACAGCAAGTCGTCATTGCTCCTCTTCTGCTTTTACAATCGGACTCCTGCCTTGTCCTTTAGATGTGTGGTCAGCCGGCTGTGTACTGGCAGAGCTGCTCCTGGGACAGCCGATCTTCCCTGGTGACAGCGGAGTGGACCAGTTGGTGGAAATCATCAAGGTAATGACCGTACTAACCGAGAGTATTCCAATATTCCCAAACAAATACAGCTTCAAGTTGGATGTAATATTACTCGGGCTAATGGTTCCACCCGTGTGTTTCAGGTTCTCGGCACCCCGACCCGAGAGCAGATCCGTGAGATGAACCCCAACTACACTGAATTCAAATTCCCCCAGATCAAGGCACATCCATGGACTAAGGTGAGTCAACAGGTACAGGAGCCCTTTTACTTCTTTAAGATCCACCGCAAAAGCATTCTGCCATTCCTGTTTTGCCTGCATGCTTCGCAACCATCCAACATCATCATCTTCATCTAACAGACCTGCATGTGAAATAGTTAATGCCATAAATGCACAGAGTTCTAAAAAATAAAAGATGCAAAGAATTTGCATTTACTGAAAATTTACTGAACTCAGCTCACACTTATCTCCCTCAGATCGAGATTATGGAATCAGCAGCACTCGTGCTCAGAGCAGATGTGCTGACTGGTAGCTAGCAGCAATGTGCGGATGTGCAAATCAAATATTGAGCACCAGGCAACGAATCTGAGGCGCCGTGTACTTTTTTGCATCAACTGTTTCAAACTCGGGGGGGGCGATGGATGAAGGCCTTGAAATCCTTCTCAGTGTTCCCGAACGTGCCATGCAGTTGTGTGATTTCTTGGTGTTGATGCTGCCAAAGATGCTTTTGTTTAAATGTTTAGTGAGAGTCTTGACCAAATCACATCAGCCAGACAACTGGCATCCTTAACTGAGAGTAAGGGTTTTTTTATTTCTCCAATTTTGAATAAGTCAGTCCTGAATTTTATATTAAATTTATACAGTGGGGCAAAAAAGTATTTAGTCAGCCACCGATTGTGCAAGTTCCCCCACTTAAAATGATGACAGAGGTCAGTAATTTGCACCAGAGGAACACTTCAACTGTGAGAGACAGAATGTGAAAAAAAAATCCATGAATCCACATGGTAGGATTTGTAAAGAATTTATTCGTAAATCAGGGTGGAAAATAAGTATTTGGTCAATAACAAAAATACAACTCAATACTTTGTAACATAACCTTTGTTGGCAATAACAGAGGTCAAACGTTTACTATAGGTCTTTACCAGGTTTGCACACACAGTAGCTGGTATTTTGGCCCATTCCTCCATGCAGATCTTCTCGAGAGCAGTGATGTTTTGGGGCTGTCGCCGAGCAACACGGACTTTCAACTCCCGCCACAGATTTTCTATGGGTTGAGGTCTGGAGACTGGCTAGGCCACTCCAGGACTTTCAAATGCTTCCTACGGAGCCACTCCTTTGTTGCCCGGGCGGTGTGTTTTGGATCATTGTCATGTTGGAAGACCCAGCCTCGTTTCATCTTCAAAGTTCTCACTGATGGAAGGAGGTTTTGGCTCAAAATCTCACGATACATGGCCCCATTCATTCTGTCCTTAACACGGATCAGTCGTCCTGTCCCCTTGGCAGAAAAACAGCCCCATAGCATGATGTTTCCACCCCCATGCTTCACAGTAGGTATGGTGTTCTTGGGATGCAACTCAGTATTCTTCTTCCTCCAAACACGACGAGTTGAGTTTATACCAAAAAGTTCTACTTTGGTTTCATCTGACCACATGACATTCTCCCAATCCTCTGCTGTATCATCCATGTGCTCTCTGGCAAACTTCAGACGGGCCTGGACATGCACTGGCTTCAGCAGCGGAACACGTCTGGCACTGCGGGATTTGATTCCCTGCCGTTGTAGTGTGTTACTGATGGTGACCTTTGTTACTTTGGTCCCAGCTCTCTGCAGGTCATTCACCAGGTCCCCCCGTGTGGTTCTGGGATCTTTGCTCACCGTTCTCATGATCATTTTGACCCCACGGGATGAGATCTTGCGTGGAGCCCCAGATCGAGGGAGATTATCAGTGGTCTTGTATGTCTTCCATTTTCTGATGATTGCTCCCACAGTTGATTTTTTCACACCAAGCTGCTTGCCTATTGTAGATTCACTCTTCCCAGTCTGGTGCAGGTCTACAATACTTTTCCTGGTGTCCTTCGAAAGCTCTTTGGTCTTGGCCATGGCGGAGTTTGGAGTCTGACTGTTTGAGGCTGTGGACAGGTGTCTTTTATACAGATGATGAGTTCAAACAGGTGCCATTCATACAGGTAACGAGTGGGGGACAGAAAAGCTTCTTACAGAAGACGTTACAGGTCTGTGAGAGCCAGAGGTTTTCCTTGTTTGAGGTGACCAAATACTTATTTTCTAGCCTGATTTACGAATAAATTCTTTACAAATCCTACCATGTGGATTCATGGATTTTTTTTTCACATTCTTTCTCTCACAGTTGAAGTGTACCTCTGGTGCAAATTACTGACCTCTGTCATCATTTTAGGTGGGGGAACTTGCACAATCGGTGGCTGACTAAATACTTTTTTGCCCCACTGTAAGTCACTGTAGGTGCACCCATCAGTTTCTATATTTTATTGGTTTTTAAGTTTTTTCAGTCCCAATAATTATTTGAACAAAGAAAAAAATATCAGACTTTATAAGAGCAAGAAGGGAGAAGGATGCAACACCATCGCTGGTAGAACTCTACATTTTAAACACTTGTTACCGGATCTGACTGGTGATTCAGAACATGCCGTTTTAAAGTAGCAGTTAACCCTGAAATGAAAGTTGACTTACCCGATGCTTCAAAACAACTGAAGCATTTAACCACGACTTCCGAGTTGCAAGACTTGCTTCAGGGAGGAGTTTGATAATGACGCACTGGTTCATCGAGCTGAAAACAACCACTTTCTTTGTTCTTGACCACCTGTAGCACAATATCTGGGCCTATTATCAGCAGCATCAGAGCTTTGGCACAGGCTCAAAGCAAATATAAGATCTGCCTGATGTTTTAGAGTGGACTGATGTTAAACCTGTGCTATCCTGCTTCAGTCAGTTACTTCATCAACTGCCACCCTACCTCCCAACATCACGATGTTGCCTCGTTGCTTGTTTTAACTCATCTTGAGAACTAAACAGGTTTTAAAATCTAAAGGACAGTCTCTCTTTCTTAGCTAAGCACAGCTCTTCTATTTGAAAAAGCAATTAGCCAATCAGGAGGGAGCAGGGCTATCAGGCCCTCCTGTTCACCTCCGACGTGCCTTGCTGTGGTCGCTCTCTGCAGCTGCATTTCATTTGCTACTCACTGCTACAGCAGTCATATGCTTCCACTGATTCATTCATAGCACGCCATAAAAAATGCATTGGTCAAAGTGCATTAGCTTTCATAGGATATTAGTAAAGATTCATTTTTCATCCAGTCATATGCTCTGTGTGTGTGTGTGTGTGTGTTGTATATGCGTTTGTGCTAAAAATACTGAAATGTCTCTTTTCTTTGGAAACTCGTGATGTTCTCATTGTTGATTCGAATTGACGTTCAGGTGTTCCGACCACGTACGCCTCCGGAGGCCATCGCCTTGTGCTCCCGCCTGCTGGAGTACACGCCCACGGCCCGCCTAACACCCCTAGAGGCATGCGCACACTCATTCTTTGACGAGCTGCGCGACCCCAGCATCAAACTGCCCAACGGGCGAGAGAAGCCCTCGCTCTTCAACTTCACTACCCAGGGTAGGCGCACTCACAAAGCATTCCTCGGAAGAGAAACCATTCATTTAAAAAAATAACACCTCTCCCAAAGTCCCATTTGCATTGTAAATACGGTTTAAACACGAATATTAAAATAACAAATTCAGGGGGATCCAAAGCCCTGAGGGTTTAAAGTTTTTCTGTTTTGAATAATTCACTTTACTTTATTTAGATACTCCAATCTAACAGATTTTTTAGAAGAATATAAAGTACATTTAAATATTTTTTTTTTCTGGGACATATCGGTTATCTCGTATTCACAGTAGCATTTATCCGTAAGGAAATCTAAGCACATCTTAAAACGCCACTTTTATGTTATCGCTGGTCTGCAGGTAACTTTGTAACAGCATAATGTGGTAATGCATTGTGTGTTCTTCTTCTTTTAGAACTATCTAGTAATCCTTCTTTGGCCTCCATACTCATCCCTGCCCACGCCCGCAGCCAGGCTGCCGCCTCTACCCCAACCAATGCATCTGCCACCACAGGTTAGAGCCACGCTACCTCCGTCAGACCCTTGTTTTATGTGGTTAGCTGCTCTATATTTATTACTTTGAAGTACTGGTTGTGGCTTTGTTTTTCAAATTAGCAGTAAGCAATTTCATCCCCTAAAGGTCAGCCTCTTTAGTTCAATTTAAGTTCAATTTAACTTAAGCCAGAAGTTGTTTTGCACTCATGTCTCCGAGCACTAAACGCTGCAAACAACAACACATGCTGTTTTCGTCGAAGGGTTGACTTTACTTAACATGCCACCTCAGTTTGGCAGTATCTTAGGTGTTTTCAGCTGTGAGTTTGGCTTTTAATTATTAATAAAACAAGATAATTGAGTTTTTGTTTTTTTTTAAATTGTGACACCCTTGCTTTGTTTTTTGCTATAAATTCTTCGCACTGTGCTCTATTACAGCAGCGGCTTTTGCCCGACACCATAGGCCCAAACTCACTCCCAGTCATGTGACATGCTTAGCTTACTTCACATTCATTAATTATTGCGTTTCCACTTCAAAGAACTGCTAAAAAAAGTTTAGTGTTTTTTTCCATCAATCCATGGGGTTTCTAATTGTTTTTAAATTGTGTGTTTTTCCAGAATTTAAAATTCCTTTCTTCTCATGTATGCTTATGTTTAACCTGCGTAGCATTATCGATTCACATTTGCTGCTTATATTGTTCAGTGTGGTTTGTATACACAGATTTGTATCCTTCGCTCTCATTGTGTCTCTGTAACTCTTTTTCTACCTTTATCTCTAAACCAGCTGTTCAACTGAGCACTTCCTCTTCCTGTTCATAGATGGCAGCAGCACAGAGCGAGGTCCCACCACCACCACCGCCTCTGCCTCAGCTTCCAACTCCACCTCCTGAGCCCACAGAGCACCTGCCCCGCCCCGGTCTCAGCCCCAGCCCTCAGCCTCTCCATTGCCCTGGCCAGGGGGTGAGCTCTGCTCAGCTCAGCTCTGCCCTGCTCCTCTTCCCCGGCAGCAGCGGAGCGATGCTGAAGCAGGCCGGGTTCGACAGCTAACTGACCACAAACCTAGCATCCCCAGTCTGCCTCTCTTATCCCCAAACCCGGCCTCAACATAAAGCTGTTTGAACTCTTCTCCATCCTCCGTCAAAGATGCCTCTCCGTGCCCTCTCGACAGGGAAGTGAAGCGCAGGGCCGAAGATGTTATCGACTGTACTGTTGATTTAAAAAGTACACTGTACACGTATACACAATGCTAGCCTGCTAAGAGGACAATCTGTAGAAAAGTCCTGAGCTCTCCCCCTTTTTTGCCCTTTCTCTATCTGGCCTCCCTCTCCATTGTTCCATTTTTCTGCATCCTTTGACCTCTGACCCCTCCGTCCCCTGGCCAACCCCTCCTCCTCGAAAAAAACAAAAACGAGCCCCGCCCCCCTTTTGGTTCTTTCTGTAGTGCATGGCCTGAGTATGGTAGGATCACCTGGGGGCCACCAAGCCCTCTCACATCCACTTCCGCAGACAAGGCATGAGGCTCACGCACGCGTATACACACACACAGACACACACCTACACCCTCAAACACACACATCCTCACACACATGGATGCATGATGATCCTGGTGTATGTGGGAAGAAACAGCCCTCTTTGGGAGGACATGTTTGGACAGTGTTGTTTTTTTGTTTTTTTTCTTTGCCTGGGGTTATTTTTAAAAATGGTTGGCGATCTGTTTTATTCAACTTTGTTTTTAATTATTTTCTTTTTTGTTGTTTTTTTTTTTGTACTCCTGGGCAGACGTCTTTTGGATTGCCACGTGTGATGGATGTGACATGTATCTGGTCCTGTGTGCTTGTATAATATATACATACAATACAAAACAGACATGCATACACACACAGTTTATATATTACTTTTCCTTATGTATAAAAAGTATATATAGATATATGTATATTAACTACAATGGTTCAGAAATCATTTATGGTGAGCTCATATCTGGCAGAGCAGTGGCAATATTTGCCGCTGCCTAAAGACAATAGATTTAGATAAGGTGGTGTTTTGTTATTATTTTATTTCTGTTTTTGTTGTTGTTCTCTTCTTTGCTGGAGTGTGGTTAGATTCCAGCAGCCACTTCCCTGTGTCGTCTGTATTAAGGCTGTAGATGGATTTAGGGCATCGCTCTATTCCCCGTCTTTGTACTGGCTCTGTCTGTAACAGTGTTTCTGTGACAGTGCAGCGTCTAGACAAACGTGTCCCCCACCCTTTTCCCTCTCTCCCTCTCTCTTTCTCTCGCCGTTTCTGTGAAGAATTCGAGGTTGGTTTTCACGCTCGACTCTCGGCCCGCGGTCTTCGGCGCACCACCGGCTGCCTCGTGCGCTGCGACCACCGACCGGAGCGCCCCTTTCTTTTTGTCCCCCTCCACCCCCGCAGCACATAGAGCCACTCGGTACAGTCTGACGAATCGTCTTATTTACGGAGAATACTCACTACATTTAAACAAAAAAATTAAAAAGATAAAACCAACAAAAAAAAAAATTCAGAAAACAAAAAAAAATCACACACACACACAAGAAAGAAAAACTGAATTTGTACATACAGTATAAATGCTCCTCACCAAAATTCTGACTTGTATGACTTGTATGTTGTTTTTTTTTATGTTGTTATGTTGATTTTTTTTTTTCTTCCATGTTGTGTTCAAGGTATGTATATATGCAGACCCATGTACTGTTTATGAGCAAAAACAAAGATGACAAAGGGTGAGGGAACGGATGAAAAAGATTCAAAAACAAACAAAAAAATGAAACAAAAAACAAAAAAAAACAGAATCAGGGCAAAACTGATGTTGTGTATGGATATTGTAGATGACGACGACGATGATCAGCTTTATCCAGCCATATGTTCAATCTTACCTGTACAGTACAGTAGATTACAGCTGTATTATTGTAACAAGAACTAGTCATGTATAGTGTAACTATAGTTTGGAGTGCCTTTGCTTTCATACACCTTCGCCTTGTTTCCACCCTCACCCAGCCCACGCCATCAACCCCCCCACCCCCACTGTCACCGCCCCCCTCTGATATTGTGACTCTCCCTTTTGGTGCTGTTGAATGTCCTGCTGTCCGCGTGCTCACTCACGCGCCCCCTCTTCCACCCGATGCACATCCTCTCCCTCCTGCTCTTTTCATTGCACACTAAATGTAATATACAGACATTGTTAATTGTAAGGATATTTTTTCTTTAACTGAAGATATAGTAGACAGGTGTTTATTTTAATAGATGTTTTATCTTGGGGGGCACACACACACACACGCATACATACACGTGTACTGCAGTCCTGGCACAGATTTGGGGTATGAAGTGGGTGGGTGGTGTGCTGTGGACGGCAGCAGGGTTTTAAACAAAAAAAAAAATCAAACAAAAAAAAAAGGCCTCATATATTATATTCGATACAGTGCAGTTTCTGTATTACTCGCAGTGTTGGTTCTGTTACCAAAGCCAAACCATCATGTTGTGATGAGCCATCCTCAGAGGCAATAACTCTTCTTCTTCTCTTCTCTTTGGATGTTTCGTTGTTTCTCCTCCTGCTCTTGAGTATTCAGGGGGGTGAAATTCAGTAGCACCTAAGGGGTCAAGTCATGTAGCCTTTCTCCTGTCTCTCCCGCTTGCTGTAATTTTGCATTCATGAACGTGTTGCTACCCTCCACCAGAAGGTTGGACCACTTCACCCCTGCCCTCTTACTCCAGTTCAATTAAAGCACCACAATGGCTACCAAAAAAAGAATAAAAGTGTATAAGCTAGTATAATATCTTATACTGACATATACACTAGTGTCATGCTGACTGGGTTAAACTGGGGTAATAGAAAAGAAGAATCTTAAGAAAATACTACAAAAACATCCTGTATAACAGTACTACTACTTGAATGCCTCTGTTTGTGACTGAAATTTCGATTTCTTTTTTTGTTTGTTTGTTTGTTTTTGTTTGTTTGTTTTTTCCTTTTGTTCTGTGAAGGTATGCTAAATGTGCGCCTCTGTAAATATTCCCTCTGCGTGCTCCGAGGAATAGTTCCCTGGTACTGTAATTTGCATTAAATAAAGAGTAGGATAGCCTGGAAATGATCATGAAATTTGTCTGTTTGAGATTCTTTTACTGTGTTTGTTCCCGTCACTTTGTAGACATCGGATCAATTTTGTTAAAGAAAATTCAAACCAAAGTAGTGGCAGCTTAAATATATCTGACATGTATGTACATTGCTGAAGTGGCAGGGACACATATTATATATTGTAAATGGCAATTTATTAGGTAGACCTGCTCAACTAATCATTAATGCAAATATGTATTCGGCTGATCACATGGCTCTAGCTCAGTGCATTTAGGTGTGTAGACATGGTCGAGAGACCTGATGAACTTCAAACAGAGCATCAGAATGGGGCAAAATGGGGACTCTGAATGTGGTGTGGTTGTTGGTGCCAGACTGGATTATCTGACTATTACAGAAACTGATTTCTACCACCCAACCATCTCTAGAGTTCACAGAGATTTATCTTAGAATTATTAAGAGAGAGAGAAAACATCCAGTGGATATAACCAGGATACATAAGACCATCTCTGAATGCACGCGCATCGAACCTTGCAACAGAAGACCACACTGGATGTCACTCCTTTCAGCTAAGAACAGAAAACTGAGGCTACAGTTTACACAGGCTTATCAAAAATGGACTGGAAAAACACATCTGCCCTGACGTCTCAAGTTCTGCTGCTGTGTTCGGACTGTAGGGTTAAAAAATTTTGTGAACTTAAAAGCGTGGATCCCTCCTGCGTTGTATCAACAGTTCAGGTTGTTGGTGGTGTAAAGTTTTCAGGGATATTTTCTTTGCGAACTGGTTTTTTGAACATGACAATGAAGTCACTGTAGCTAATTGGCCTCCGCAGTCACCAGATGTGTAATGCTGTCATGTCAATCAAGTCTCCAGCACTTCAGCCTGTGCCACAAAGAATTAGGTCAACTCTGAAGAACAAACCATGACCAGCCTGATACTTTCACAACATATCTGTTAAAGTGTTTAGTGAGTGTCTTTTTGTGTATATTACAAAAACCAGCATGGCAAAACTCATATGATCATATAGATTCACACAGATTTATGTTTACATATTAAGAGTCTGAAACCTTGCTAATGGTTCAATGATGCACTGGCTTAAAATAAATGTGTTTGAAAAAAGAATATCTTTATTACAACATGATGCACAGAGATAACAGAAGCATCAACAGTGAATCACAAAGTCTATAGTAAATAAAAGTAAACAAATGTGGAGGTATTCTGTGCCAGGTAAATCCAAGGATTTCAGTTAGAGTGCCAGTTTCAAGTTCAACCCAAACCCATTAAAAGTTGCCCTTTAATGATGATCTGAAGGCAATAGCTGAAAATCGCTTTGGATGTTCTTAGTTCTTGAAAGAAAAATAGTAAAAAACTGTGTCCTTTTGCTTAATCTGAATCAAATGGAACAACTGCCGGGTACTGTACACAGAAATCTTGAAGAACAAAACTCTCAACTCTCAAAGTCACATAATGAAAAAAGTTCTCCTTAGTGCAAAGAGAAGACTCGAGTCTGCCATCACAAATTAAGGTGGACAAAGAACTGACAAAATAAAAAGTTCCTCCCTTGGGGCGTGTTTATTTAATCCATTAGATCAAAAGTGATCAACAAAACTTCAGGACAGTCCAGATGTTTGCAGTGCAGATCAGCCTCACAGAGAATCTGTTTTTCTGTGTGTGGCCAGAGGGGGGCAGTGTTTGTCTTTATATGCCATCAGAAACGCTCATGTCAAGCATTTTTCATTCATCACGGTTTACAATAAATGAACATTAAGGCACCAAAAGCACAAAACTAGACCAACAACAAAATTCTACATTTAAAAAGCAGCTTTTTCGGAGTCACAACACTGACAACACTCGTTCACTCCCTCTCACCTATATATTTTTGTCCTGTCAATATTTAAGACAATTCAATTCCATTCAATTTTATTTATATAATCACAACAAAAATCGCCTCGAGGCACTTTATATTGTACAGTAGATCGCACAATAATAGATACGGAGAAAAACCCAACAATCATATGACCCCCTATGAGCAAGCACTTTGGCGACAGTGGGAAGGAAAAACTCCCTTTTAACAGGAAGAAACCTCCGGCAGAACCAGGCTCAGGGAGGGGCGGCCATCTGCTGCGACTGGTTGGGGTGAGACAGGAAGACAGGATAAAATATGATTCGATGCAGAGAGGTCTGTTAACCAGAGATGGGCAGTTACTATAATCTGATTACTTTTTTCAAGTAACGAGTAAAGTAAGGGATTACTATTGCAAAATCGGTAATTAGATTACCGTTACTTTCCCGTAGGAACGCTGCGTTACTGCGTTACTAAAACCGTGATTTTTTGCGAGAATGTCTCACGACAGTGACGTAAGCGAGTGCGCCGTTAGTGACAACAGCTGTGTGCAGATCAACAATGGATCACATATCGATTGCGGGAGAGAGTATGAGCGTGCAGCGTTTAAAGCGTGGAAGTACTGACCTTACTTTGAGTTTGATTCCATAAAAAGTGACAAAAATATTAGCGTCCATCGTGCGTGGGAAGAAAACTTTTTACAGCGAAAAAAACCCCTAAACTTCCAAGCAAGCACCGAGTGCGCTATGACGTAATGGGAAACTCACAGAGAAACTCGCGGATTCTTCAACTGACCGCGGCACACCTGCACCAGGGTAAACCTCCGCCTACCGCAGTCCTGCTTTACAGGTGAAAATAGAGCAACAGGACCGCTGAGTCTTTGACTTTATTTATTTTCTGCTGTGTTTTACTTGCATCTATTTGAAAGAGTGAGTGTAAACACAAAAAATATTTTATTTTATGTGCTGGAATGTGCAGATAATAGGTTTAAATGTTAAACTAATTTATTCAAGTCAGAGAATGTTGCATATAATTAAATCTTTGCTTGATGCATAAAGTTAAAAGATTAAAACTAATAAAACAAGTTTTATAAAGAGACTTTTCCATTTGATTACATTTTGTATGATGGATTATGTAGAAAAAGTAGAATTGGGCTGAAAGATCTATCACTTTATCACCTATTCAGGTTGTAAATCGTGTTTTTAAAAAGTAACTAAGTAATTAATTACTTTTGAAAATAAGTAATCAGTAAAGTAACGGGATTACTTTTTTGGGGAAGTAATCAGTAATTAGTTACTGATTACTTTTTTCAAGTAACTTGACCAACACTGCTGTTAACACATAGTGAGTGAGAAAGGTGACTGGAAAGGAAAAACTCAATGCATCATGGGAATCCCCGGCAGCCTACGTCTATTGCAGCATAATTAAGGGAGGATTCAGGGTCACCTGGTCCAGCCCTAACTATATGCTTTAGCAAAAAGGAAAGTTTTAAGCCTAATCTTAAAAGTAGAGATAGTGTCTGTCTCCCGAGTCCAGTCTTCACTCTTTCGACACATGTAAAATAACAATAGGATACTTTCATTTAAGCGTCCCCATTAACAGTGCTTGTGCTGCTCATGTACAGCACACTCTTCATAAGTCATTACAGGAGCCTTTACTGACCATCTCCATTATGAGAGGACTGATGGTGTCAGGCTGGATGTCCTGGATCTGTAGAATCTGTTTGCTGTATTCCTCAGTCATTGTTCTCATCTCTGTAAAGCAGGCTATCACTTTGGGATACAGCAGGCTGAAATACAATAGAAAAGTCAATAACTGCAGTATGTAAAAACATTTCACACTGACTGGAAAGGGGCGAGAATTTGACATTTCACTCACTGTTTCTCTGGACCTGTTCTCCTGCAGTCAATCCAGGTTTTTAGCGTCAGCGCCAAGTTTTCATGAACTTTGTCAATCAAGCTGTGCTGCTGCACGCCTGGACGGTCTGGCAAATCAAGTAAAAAACAAATTTCTTTTAATTTGAAGCCACTTCGCCCTGAGGAAAATCTGAGAATGCATTTTTATTTTGGGCTGGGTACAAATGCACACTGTTTGTAGGGTTTAAATATTTACAGGGTTGGTTAATTATTGATTTGGTCCTAGCAAGGACTGGGATGAACTGCTGAAGAACGACCATCACCTGGAGAAAACAGAGACATGGCTTGCATGAGAACGTATTCTTCCTCCTGTAGGCCCAGTGTGCGCAGGGTGTGGTGAAATCTGAACAGAGGCTCCAGCAGACATGGCTGAAATCCCGCTGGAAAACACAGGAAAACGGGTCAGGAGCAGGACAGATACGGAAGGACAGTCTGAGGGCCACTGAGGTCTGATCTGTTCCCACTTTTCTCCACACTCCAAGAAACGGATTCAAATGGATATGTTTAGTTCCCACTTTCGAGTGAGCTACCATCAAGGTGATTCTGGCAGGGATTTATGTGTGAAAATGTGCAACACATGTACAGGCAAACCACAATCTAAAAGCTCATTCATGCAGAATTATCCACAATTAGGAAGGAAAAAAAAATCAGGGAGAACGATGAGCTCAAAACTACCAGCTACACAGTAAATATTCACCAAATACACAAAACACGTATGCCAGTCAGATATGCGCTCCAAGGACATGCTGCAGGATTTTCCAGACATTCTTGCAAAACTATTTTTGCACAAGTTCTAAAAAAAGCAGGGGTGGTGATTTGCCACAACTTCCCTACAGTTTTTCCAACACACAAGGCTTATAAATGTAACTGACATGCTGTTAGCCTAGGAGCACTGAAACGGTGAAAGGAATTTGCACCAATAAAGACAACTAAAAGCCAGCGGAATAGTCGGGATATCCTTGGTGTGTTGACTGGAATCAGTCAGACATCATTTTATACTGATTTCTGTTGTTGGGGATGAAATAAAGGTACAGTTATTCCACTTGGCTTTGCCAGACAGATTGCACCAGTCCCAAAAAAATAATATCTAACAGATTATAAACAAAATACAAAGTATTTATAAAAGCATTTATACCAAAGACCCCTGTAGTTCAAATGTCATTTATGGTTTATGTGTATTTTCATTCCTTTAAAAAAAACAAAACAAGGAAGTGCTATTTTTAGTGTTTGTTCTCTGTGTGACCTACTTATAGGTCAGTCTGAGCAGTTAACTCGCAAGTAAAGTAGCATGAAGAGCAAACACCTTTGTGATGGATATTTGTAGCTGCACACCTTATCCAGTGTGAAAACTGCAGGTCAGCACCTTGAAAATTAAACAGAGCTATATTCCCTGTAATCTCAACTTTCACCTAGTGCTCAGTGTGAATTCCTTATTCCTAAGAGCTGTTTGTCTAATAGTAAAAGGAAACCTTCAGACAGCGCGTTTGTGAAGCACTTTGGATCGAAAGAAGTAAAAACCAGTTTGACAGCATTGCAGTGAGTGTTTCTTAAGGAGTCATATTACACCACCGTGTGAGAACATGTGACAAGAGTGATAACAGACTGGACATGTTACTGACTGACTGTTGTCTGACTGCTTCAAAAATAAAAGTGCAACATGTGCATGCATGTTAGGAGCGTCAAATTTCTCTTTGTTCATTTTACTCCTGTTTAATAACAGTTTGCAACGTTACATATAGTTTAAAAGCAAAAAACTAGCGAGATCAGAGAATAACGACTCAACGTGTTCATCAAGTGAAAAAACATTTTGCGGGGGCAAAGGTCATTCAGTACACGTTACATGTTATTTAATCAGGTGTACAGAATTTGTGATCAGGGACGTTACTTTGAGTCCTCAGACAACACACACCTCAGAGTTACTCCAATTCAATCAACAACAGACCATAATTGTCTCCATTACTGAATGCATTTTGTATTTTTGTATATTGACTTGGTTATAAGCACTAAGTCCATCTTTATGAACAGTGAAACACAGTGAAACACCTACATTTGCAGTTTCTCACACTCTTTGGAGTACGTCAGCATTTTAAACTGCACAGCCACTCATTGTCACACTTTTTTCAGCAAAAGCTTTCATACACCGCTGCAGTCTTTGCCAGCACCAAAAAGCACCTCGAGATTGCTAACACAGCAGATGATTAGGGAGCTAATTAGGCCTAATCCTCCACTATCCTCTGGTAAGCAGCGTCAAATGTAGAGACAAATGAAGAAAACAAGTGTCAAAAACTAAACTGCAGTTCCTCTAATGACCACTTGAGGCTTCATTCATTCATCATGCTTATCCAACTCAGGCTCACCCCGGGGCTGCAGCCTATTCCAGGTGCCAATGAAATAGTGGACGGTTACACCAAACATCGCAAGGCTAACAGACAGAGAGCAACAACCATTCACACCTATTTAGATTCAGCAATAAGCCTAACATTGGATTTTCCTGAGTGTGTAGAGTCAGTTGCTCATTTTAGGCCATATTGTATAAAACATGAAGTTCAACTTTTCTAATTTACATGTCAGAAAGGAGGATTATCCAGGACATGCTCTTCTCTTCTGGGATGGTTTGAAACACACAGCAAGCCATAATAATTGTCAGATAAACTATTAAAAATGCTCCAGATGATACAACATCACAATTAGCTACTGCAAGTAGTATCAAGCCTACCAGACACCTATCACTGCCAGGACAGGTATCAATCAACTCAACAAACTCAACTATTAAGGTGAGTGAGTGGTTAAAACCTCTCACCTCAGAACACATGAAGCAGGAAACTATCCACAGAAGCCAAAACTTTTTTTTTGTACCAGGTTGTAAACTTGCTAAACTGGTTGGCAGTTTTAACGTGGGAGTCTGGGAACTGACTTGCTTTTTGAGCCAGCCTCAAGTGGCACCTAGAGGAACTGCAGTTTTTGCCACTTGTGCATAGGTCTCATTTTTCAGGTCTGGAGGTCAAGTCCCACTGACTGACTTTGTTCAGAATTTTTTTTTAAATCTCTCTTTAAATGATGCTTTGTCACAAGTGTTCAGGAAAGTGGCCACTCTAAGTGACAGTCTGACTTCACCTAATCTAATCTAATCTAATCTAATCTAATCTAATCTAATCTAATCTAATCTAATCTAATCTAATCTAATCCATCCAACTGTAAGAAGTCTTACCTCGTACAGCGTCATCTATGCAGTATGTAATATGGCCACATTCCCATGTGCTCGTTTTTGAGTTGAACACCATGTTGAAGCGGATCTGCATTATTTCAAACGTGGCTCCCTTCAGCAGAGATATTTGGTCTCCCATGGTAAGAGACCTGTAAGACACCAGTTTGACATCAAGTGTCGAAAACGTGCCGACTGAATATAAATATCCGTTGATGTACACATTTACCGGAAGTCTTGGAGACTTTTGGAAAAGCTAATGACGTTCTGGATCATGTAAGTCGTGAGGTCGGCCACATGCGGAAGAGCAGTGAAAACACATCTGTTTTCGACGTCATTCCGTATGTGGTGTTCTTGTTTTTTAATGGAACTGTGGAAACAGGAGGAGGATGAAGAGCATGAGGTGGCAGATGGCGATGATGTGGGCTCGGTGGTAGATTTACTCGCAGTGCTGCAGCCGTTTCTAGGGCACTCGGTCAGAGGGTTAAAGTGCTTGCTTGCCGTCTGCTTGTGCGTATTCACAGGAAGGATGTTTCGGTCCATAGGCTGAAAAAAATCAAAGATCAATTACACAAGTTAAAACAAAGATGATGATTGGGCGTACCCCCACCCATCCTGGGACTATATCTCTGGTCTGCTGCCTGCTCTCGAGTTCGCGTTTAAAGTTGCCTCGAGCCTGGTACACCACTGAAGACTAGGGTAGGAAAAGTAAGGGTTTTGTTGTTTTTAGTGTTTTAGGCTGGGAGTTGCACATAGTAAATCAGTGGCACCAAACTTGGTAGGAGGTTTGAGACCATTCTTGATTATGGTCTGTAGCTGAGGCAGGTAGGCTGTTTTTAAGTTGGCATTGTGTGCACACCCTGTGTGTGCATATGTCAGTGTGGATGGATGCTAATGAGATCCTTGTGAGGTGAGTGTTTTGTGATGTGACCTTTAGTGTTGTGGGGAATATGGCTATTTTGTTGGATCACTTGTGAGTGTTGTTGGCCAGGTGATGGCAATAACACTGTGGGGTGCTGAGCCACCCTTGATGTGATCATTGTGTGGCCATAGCTCTCCAGTTTGTGGTTGGTCACTAGTATGCTTGATTTACTGAACTTTTTGGATTAAAGTAACTTGTTGTGGTATAGGGCCACTTGTATGTGACTGTTTGTGTGGTGGAGACAACAGATCACTTAGTTGTGATTATTTGTTGCTACTTTTGGTTTTGTGTTGTAGCAGATCAGGTAATCATTTTGGGTTTGTGACTGTTGTGCTCCTTTGTGTTGGTCACATGTTACTTTTTGTCTGTTCAGTGTGGCAACTTCAAATCCTCATGCCCATCCATGCTTAGAGATGCCAACTATAACGTGAACACTGTGCTTCTGTTAGCTTTAACTTTTATTTATTTAATTATAAGGAACTGAAGGCTTCAGAGGGGCTTTTAATAAATTTAAGGGTCCTAGAGGAACCCTTTTAAGGGAGGAGGTGTTACGTCCCTCTGCAGCTTCTAATCGTCTCAGTGTTTTCAGCTGGTGCTAATTGGCCACACCTAGTCAGGTGTGGATAAAAGCATACCTGAGGCAAGCTTTCCGGCAGTGCACTAGTCTTTGCCTTGGTGGCACCAGCCATTTTAGCCAACCTGGTTTTCCATTTTAGGATGAAACCTCTTCTCACCCACACTCTGTTATTCGTCTCCTTTTTTTATGTTGCGGCTTTTGAGCCGGGTCGTAACAATGATGAAGAGCTGAAACTGCATGCATTCACTCACACACCCTGAAGCTGCTGAAGCGGGAAAATGCTGAGTCGAATGTGCTGCGGTGACCAAAGAGCAGTTCCTGAATACGTTTTTCTTGTTGGAATGAAAGCTCCACTGGGGAGTTAAGCATCTTATTCTTCTTGATTTGGACCCTCCTCTCCTGCACCTTTTCATCAGACATGACCACTGAACAAGCACAAAAATACAAGCATTTACTATGTCAAGCATGTCAGCATAAAACAACCTGATCTGATTCATAATTTCTTCTCAAGGCATGAAAATTATGTGTATCAATTTATTGTATGACATGATGTAAACATGCAAAATGATAACAAGCATTCTAGAAACTGATGGGTGCACCTTTTATAATACCACACACTTCCTACAGTGACTTAAACATTAAGTATAAAAGCCTTTAGATGTTACTTACTGTCTTTGCACATGCCAATGGCCTGACATTTGCGCATGCGGCAGGCTTGACAAGACCGGCGGCTGTTTTTCGTTATAACACATTTATTCAGGAATGGACAACGGAGCTGGTTTGACCTCTTTATGTTACGTCTGAAATGAAAAACATCCACTCACAAAATAACAGCTTCATGCCTTAGGTTTAACTGCTTGTTAATGCAAATATCTAATGAGTCACAATTTGCACAAGTTTACTGAAATTGCACAACAAATGTGCAGTCTCAAGTTCTGCCGCAACATTTGTTTGATAGGGTCAGAATTTGGTGTAAACAACATGAATGCATGGATCTCCACTCCATTTAGGCTGGTAGTGGTGGTGTAATGGGGTGGAAGATATATTCTTGGCACACTTTGGGGCCCTTAGTACCAACTGAGCATCATTTAAACATGACAGCCTACCTGAGTAATGTGCCTGACATGTCCACAGTGCACCCATCTTCTGATGGCTGCTTCCAACAGGACAATGCACCATATCATAAAACTCAAATCATCTCAACCTGGTTTCCTAAACATGACAACAAGTTCCCTGTAATCAAATGCCCTCAATAAAAAGCTCTCAGTAAAATAGAGCACCTTTGGGATGAGGTGGTCTGGGAGATCATGGATGTGCAGTAACTGTGTGATGCTATCATGTCAAAATTGACCAAAATCTCTGGGGAATGTTTCCGGCACCTTGTTAAATCTATACCACCAAGAAATAAATCAGTTCTGAAGGCAAAAGGAGACCACCCTGGTACTAGCAACCTGTACCTAATGAACTGTCTGTACTGTGTGCACTGTGTGGATTTAATTTGTGAAGGTGTTGAAATTAGAGAAGGTCAAATTAAGAACCAAAGTAGATGAGAATATCACACTGACACCACCTTTTATGCCAGAAATTGAATGTTATCTGACCACTCAGCTCACCGACAGCAGCCCATCTGAATAACAGGGACAGAGAGAGCTTTGGTGGCAGCAAAGTGAGGTTTATATAAAGAATACTTTGGCCTAAAGAAGTCAAATAATAAACAAAACTTAGCACACTTCTAAATGAGACAGTTCAGAGAGCATATATGGTGAACAGTATAATAATGTTCAATTAAAAATCAAAATAAAAGCCATTAAAATAAATGGTTAACTTCAATACTACAAAACTCTAGTATTTGGGCTCCCAGTGATTGATGATGATGATAACACATTGATGACACACAGCTTCCTATCTGACAGACATCTTGAGCTTCTCGTTGTATAAACTCTTTAAACAAAAGGTCAGATAATTTTAAACGTTTTACAGCTGAATGTGAGGAAAACTGAAAATGTGATTAGTGTTAAAGTTAATATATCTGTTACGTAGTTACAACACATTTCAAACATAACAAGCTTCTGACTCAGAGTAAATCATGTTTTCATTTATCACGAGCAGACTAGACCACTGTCATTTCCTGTTTGTGAGCCGTCCTAGTAAAAGAGTTCAACTTATTCAGAACACAACTACACCAGTCCTAACTAGGTCAACAAGTCACAATCTAGTCTTCTGAAACCTGCATGTGCCACAGAAAGAATACAATTCAACATCCTACAACCTCCTACAACTTCATGGTTACTCAGGTCACAGTGAACTGAGGTGGCCTTCAGATTGCAGAGCAGACGGTGTCGAGCTTATTTCACATTTTGAGCCTATGAAAGCAAGATAGTCACTGTATCTATGTATATATCTATGTATATAGATACTATGCAAGATGCAAGTATATGTATAAATGTAGTATAGAGAATGTGCTTGTGTGTATGTGTGTATATCCGGTCCTCACGATCGCGTGTCTGTTTATTTGGTTGACAGGGTGCTAAAAGTACAGAGGTGCTGAATTCAGGTGAACTGAATTCAAATTAACTTATAAATACTACTTAAAAAGTACTTTTTGGGCATGAAAAAAAAAGATCCGAAATGTGGTTTCACTTTATATGATATTAAAAATTTACAATATAAGCAGCCAATTAAATGCCATGAACATCCCCCACCCCACCAAAAAAAAAAAAAGTATTAATGACTGCCTGTACTCTTTATTACATTACAGTGTGTTTGGCATCACTGTGTTGAAAAATGAAGCGGATGCCAATCAGATGCTTTCCAGATGGTAAAAGCAATCTGATGGTATTTTTCTGTGTTCATAATTATATTAATTTTGACAAGATTCCCAACACCACTGGATGTTTTACTAATGACTGTGGTATGAAGCTAAATATGTTGCACTTGCTGTGTACCTCTCTCCTGACCTATTAACAGAGATTTGAGCCACAAATTTCAAGACCAGTTGCCACTGATGTTTAGTCCAGTTCTTGTGTAATTTGGAATACCTCCACCTTTTCTGCATGTTTTCTTCCCTTAAGAGCAGATGGATGAACTGAAGGGCCAGATGCATCTCTCTGTGTCTCTCTGTGTCAGGTCTTTGCTGGATTTTTTCCTCTTTCTCAAGGACATGACTTTTAGAAACTGTTCATCTGCTGGAGATGATGGAGTTTTTCTAACCCTGCCACTTCTTCTTTTGTCTTCTACTTCTACTGAAAATTCTTAAGGACACACTGCTGAGATATGCCAAATTTTCATCTAATATTTCTTATTAGATGAACTAAGTTATTAGTTATGTATGGACAAAACACTGGTTTGAGTTCAACCAGGAGCCTTTTATGCTCATCAGGTACAAAAACTGAGTGAGTGAAAATGACTGAGAAAGCAGCAAATGTCAAAAGAAAATTTTTGGAAGACCTTCTGGAAGACTGGAGAACTATTGCTCAAGACCACTTTAAAAGATTACAAGAAAGTCTGGCTCCTCGGAAGGAAGATCACTAATTTGTCATTTCACATTCACAAGGGATTCTTTTCATGACAAAAATTTTTCTAAATATAATTAAAAACATGAGAGAAACTCTAGATACAGCAAACATAAAAGCTGGACTATTTGTTTTCTAAAAGCCCTTAAACAGCCATTTATTGCTTGATTCATGATGTTATTAAATGTTGAAGAGCTTTACCTGAAGAAGCCCTTGCAGCCTTCACAGGTCAAGGCATTGAAGTGGTAACCATTAGCCAGATCTCCACAGACACCACACACTCTGGACTCCTCATCATCTGTCAGCTTCTCCTCCTCATCCTCTTTATTCAGCCTTGCGAGCACTTCACTGATGATCTGCACTCCAGCGGCCTTCTCGCTCATTCTCACCCGAGAGATAATCAGATTAGTCTGGCGTCACTGCCTTCACATCTGTTCTGGGCAAGATTGATTCAGTAAGAAATGGAAAGGTTCCCTGTGAGATCAGGCTTAGGTTTAACTACTATCAGCACTACTACGTCACAGTTAATGTACAGGATACACACTGTATATCCTACGTTATTGTGCTATGATACTCTTAAATGAAAGGATATGACCATAATACTGTGGCTGAACCATTTGCTTCCAGCAGTGACGCATACCTGGATATGACTGAAGGCTCCTTGTGGAGTCATTTACGTCTATTACAACCCCCTATTCATTGTGGCTAAATGGTCACAGTAGGAGATCACCTTGATTTTCATCAAAGAGCAAGAGCAATTTTCTGAAGTGCACAGAACAGCTCACAATGTTCAAGTGCAAAGAACAATGTGGACTCTTCAATTTTTTATTTTTTTTTAATACTTTCCAGTGGAAAAACGGTAAGTTGCACAAAAAACAAGCACAGGCTACTGTTGATTAATGATTTAGCAACATACATTTCAGGTATTTTCTGCCAGTAAACAATGCTTAATGCAACCTTTTTAATTTTAACACTCAAATCCCTCCGAATTACTGACACACTGAAATCACAACTTTAACGTAAGTCGTTGTGTTTCTTTAAAGCATACACAACTCCACACACTCCACTGAAGCAGCGTGTAAAACATGCTTGTTTGGGAGTGCTCCTACTTTACTCCCACCCTGCAGGCAGGCAGGTTTGTAACTGAAGCCTGACCTGTCTAACAGGTGTGCACAGGTCCACACAGGTTGTCATAAAGTAAACTCTTTTCCTTCCTTTACCTGGTTAAATGTCTGGCTTAGGTCATTCAAATCACTCACCTGATGATTCCAGATGTCAAAACAGCTGTACGTGGTCCACAGGTGCCCGCCTCACTTCGCTTAATCAGGGGGAATTTTGAGCATGACCAACAGGGGAGAGAATCGTTAACAGGTCGTCGTGCAAGCTTTCGACCAGCTTAATGTTTAATACTGGCAGTTTGCCACAACTACAACCGGCTGCAGCCGAAGAAGCTGTGTAAAATCCAGCACCGCCTACTGATGTCGTACTTCGTAGACGCGGATCACGGACGCAGGGGCGTTTCCAGGATGGAGCGACACAGGACGAATCCAAATATTTAATCGGAAATGGAATCAGCACAGAAAAAAAGGACACGATTTTCTTGCAAAAGTGATGAAACATAATTTTTCGTTGAATAATTGTGGAAACGTGAAAAAAAAGAACTTTTAATGTAAGTTATAATCCTGTTTAAGAGTCTTCATGCTGCACGTTGTAAAATCAAAATATATAATAAGTACCAAAAGTCATTATGGAAAATGGCACCATTTAATGTTGAGCTGCGATTATTTTAATTGCTTGTGTGTTGCTGGGTATCTTAATCTGTAATAATCCAATCAATCAAAAACAAACAAAAAACAAACACTGGATTATCACGTTTGAATTAGTTTTTGAGGCTTCATCATCATCAGAGTGATTTTCCCCTCAAAAACTGAAATAAATTGCACAATGCATTTTAAAGAAATACATAGCTAAATATAAATAAATTAAAAAAACAGATGTAGCAAATATGACATAAATTAAAACACCTACAATAATAAAGATTTTTTCTAAATTCATCACAAGGTTCAATAATCCCCTTTTTCAAAATAAACAAATAAAATATATAATTTCTGGCAATTAATTCATGCCTATGCTTCAAAGGGTTCAAATACATCATCTACCGCATAAAACACAACATTTGTTCCCAAAACGTGGTGGAGTAAAAGCAGAAAGACTTCTTCAAACATTTCATGTCAAATTAAATTAAATTAATTACTGCTTAGAGTAAAAAAAAAACAACAACCCAGAATGATTATTAAACCATCACTTTAATAATATCACAACAACTTTTAGACATTATAGATTGCAATGCAGAACACTTTTAATATTCTAGTCCTCTCTTTTACTCAGTTTGAGCATCGTGCTGCTCTGCTTCCTTCCCCTGCAGCGGCTGGCTCATTGTCTCTTCCAGGACTTGACAGGACGCTTTTATACCAGGACAGGTAAATTTTGACGCTTCCAGAGTACTGTTCAGGAGCTCAGGAGCATTTGAAGTCCCTTGAATGATGTTCCGAGCTGCCTGTAAGTGTCTATGCTGCTTCTGGTGCACTGAAAATGCAAGGTCAGAAAAAATTAGGAAAGGATTTACCTTTAACTTAATCACTCCATCAACACTCCAATAAGTCATTTTAATTTCTATTTTAAAAACAAGGGCATTTATCTTTTACTAGTAAGTCATTTAATGCATTTTCGTGTGTTTCTAATTCTTGCTACAAACCTCTTTCCCTGACACCGATCTTCTTTACCTCCGGGATAAGGAAGCTGTACACCAGCTCAGACACAATCTCCTCCGACTGAAGATTATCCCGGCTACTCGCACACAAAAGTGATGTTTGTTAGTGTTACAATTCCTTAACACCAAGCAGCGACAGATATTCGAAGGTGCTTGTTACCTTTCCTCAATGGCATATGCGATGTCGTTGACCTCCTTTGCTCTCTTGTGGATCTCCTCCCGCGCCTGCTGGTCGGCTATGTGCTCAATGGTCCCCAAGATGATGTCTTCTAAATACATGTCCACAGTCTCCTGATGTACCTGTACCACCTGTGACAAGAAGTGAAGGGAACCCACAAACTCACACACCTTAAAATGGTAATAATAAGTACAATAATTGACAAAAAAAATAGAAAAATAAGTACGTTTTAATAAGCGATTTAGAGCTCAGTGACTCAGCTTGTTCCAAAGAGTTGGTGCTCTGACTGCAAATGCTTTGTTACCTCATTGTTACTGATCTCTGTTACCCTTTTACAACAGAACAATGACATGTGCACATACTTCTCTGAAGACCTCGTCTTCCTCTTTGCGTCTTCGCTCCTCTACCTGCCTCCTTCCGCTCTCCTCGGCCTCTTGCATCCGACGGTCTCTCTCAGCCAGCAGTGTAAAGGCGTGGATCCTTCGCTCATCCTGGAGACGAATCAGCTCCTTGGACAATGTGTCAAACACTTGTTCTAGTTCCGCTCCTACTACTCCGGCTTGATGCGCTTCCTGTTGAAAAATCTGAAAAGATGGAGAGAACGGGTATAAAGGTTGTTTGGATTTAGTACATTTTTGTCCACGTGGTCAGGTCCGTGTGTTTCACCTCAAGTCTGCGTTTGTCTCTTTGTTTATTCAGCATCATGACATGCTCTTTGTCTGCCTTCTGTAGCTCCTGCTCTTCCCTCTTCAGGGCATGGACAGTCCTCAGTTCCTGGATGAGATCCTGATGTTTCTCCTTGCCCTTAAACATCTTTAGAACAGCAGAGATAAAAGTAAAAAGATAAGTGCTCAAAAACTGAGCAAGACTGAAACATTTATGTAGGAATGAAACACAGGTGGACCTCATACTGGATCCTTCGTCCTCGCAATAGTTTCTGCAAGAAGATTACAGCAAGTTCTTTCTCTTCTTCCCCCTAAAAAATAGAGAAATATTAATACAATAAATGTAATATTTACAAAGGAAGTCTCAGTAACAGTCAGAATAATTAACTGACCTCAGGTGGTGTTTCCACTGTGGGAGTGACAGGATGAGGAACAGGCGTCTCCTTTCTGAGAAGAAAACGTAAAGTCCTCAAAGATGCGTGGTCATCCTGCTTCTGCTTCAGATTCTGTGGAGCCAGAAGTGCCAGTATGTATGTATCTAAAACTTCAAAGATATACTTCAAGTGGATCTTGCATCAAACAAAATGGCTAAAATGTCAAATAATGACGTTGCTGTATATACATGAGCCAAAAGCTCAGGCTTCAGATTCCTGCCTGGTCTCTCACAATTTCTTCTGCTCTTGGCTCTGCCTGATGTTAATGAGAGCAGAGATCTTTACTGTGGTCATAACAGGTGCACAGAAGTACCATTGACCTGCAGTTCAAACCTTGTGTCTCCATGAGATAGCCAATCAGAAGTGTTGACTTCAGCTTGTTTCAGTGGGTGAATCGCCAGAGCCCAGCTTATGATAAGTAAGAGTTATTTTAAACTGTCAATTATTCAAAACTACTCCAGTAGTAATAAATATTGCATTGGACCTGAGCAACGTAGATCCACTTTAATGAACATCTATATTTTCTGTTCTGCCTTACCTTGTATTTCTTCAGCAACTGCACAGCTCTGCTCTCAGGAGGCTTCATCACATCCTCGGAGACTTTGGGTTTTGTTCTTTCTCTCTTTGACTTCAGTACTGAAGCACTGAGTTGCGCCTCTAGTTCTTCTAAACCTAACAAAGAATTAAAAATGATCTTAACAATGAATTTATGAAATTATCTGTGTGTGTTATACTGGAAATTACATACAAAATTTTTACTTCTGCAACAGCATTCAGATTCAAACCTTCATATGTGTCTAAGTAGCGTCTTGTTGACAGCATGCTGTTGATGTTCCTGTTGGGAAAAATGCCAATGCGGATCCTGGGGACATACGTCTGAGAGGCTATGACGCACCGTTCTAGCTTCCCCTCCACATTTTTCCTCTTAGCTTCTAATTTTCTCAGTGCTGCAGACAAAAATAAGAAAAGAAAAACAGAGGCAGTTTCCAAGGAGTGAGACTAGATATTAAATAATATACTTAACATTAGAGGGCTGGACGTCTTACACCTGTTGTAGTCAGCGTGTATTTTGTTTAGCTTGGTCTCCCTGTCTTCCTGGTGCTTAGAATATATCTGGTTCAGTCTGTCATTTGTGACATCTTTCTGAGCCTCATCTCTCTGCCTCAGAAGGTCCTTTAGCACCTCTAAACGAGCCTCTTGCAACCTAGCAGAGAAAATGTACGATAAAAACACAAAACACAACTGCTCCTTATCAGAGTGACAGGAGTGAACTGAAACAATGAAGGTGTGAAGCAATCAATACATGATGAAGTTTAAATCTGTGCCAAACAGTGCATCACCATCACTTTAAGCAGTAGGTTGCATCCCTATTAGTGTGTTTTCCAGTTAGATTAGCATTTCAGGTGCACTATCACTCACTTCTCGATTTCGCCTTCTCTGAAAGCCCACTCTTTGGCCTCCATCTCTTCCATTAAACGCCTCCTCTTGTCGAGCTGGCTCAGGTCACTCAGTGGAGGAAGACTGGCCTCCCAAGCTCGCTTGGCACGGGCACGCTGTATCATTTCCACTTCTGCAAGGCCTGCAGGCAGACCGTGACCTGAGGAATTTTCATTCAGAAAAAAAACTAATTACCGTATGCAACCCTGTCACAAAAAAGCAACACAGCTTAAAATGTAAATATATACAGATTGCAATCATAGCCCATATTTGCCTAAAAATAAACTTGACGCAAAAGTAAGGAAAATTTGCATTTTTTGTAACAAAGAAGAATCTTCTCCAAGCATGACATCCCAGTGAACTGCAAACCCAGACACACCCTCAGACAAAAACTGGTTCATCCCAAGGACAAAACTCGTAAACACAAGCTAAGCAATAAAGTGTATGCTGTGCAATGCAGTGAGGAACAGGTGGACCTCTAGTCTCCTGAGACCCACCCTATTCATTTATGTTCTCTGTCACGACATTTGTTTGTGGTCTGTGTCTTTTGACTAATTTGGGGCGATCGTGGCTCAAGAGTTGGGAGTTCGCCTTGTAATCGGAAGGTTGCCGGTTCGAGCCCCAGCTTGGACAGCCTCGGTCGTTGTGTCCTTGGGCAAGACACTTCACCCGTTGCCTACTGGTGGTGGTCAGAGGGCCTGGTGGCGCCAGTGTCCGGCAGCCTCGCCTCTGTCAGTGCGCCCCAGGGTGGCTGTGGCTACAATGTAGCTTACCATCACCAGTGTGTGAATGTGTGCGTGAATGGGTGGATGACTGGATATGTAAAGCGCTTTGGGGTCCTTAGGGACTAGAAAAGCGCTATATAAATACAGGCCATTTACCATTTACCATTTAATTTGAGCTACCCTACGAAGTCCTCATGTGCTCAGTAGAGGACATC